TTTTCAGTCTTTTAACAATGTATTCCTTAAAACAAAAGGTTTTTAATTTGATTAAGTTTTGTTCAATGAATTATGTTTTTGATGTGATATCTAATAACTGTTTACCTAACCAATGATCATAAAGATTTTTCTTCCTCAGTTCCTTCTAGAAGTTTTACAGTTTTATGTTTAACCATAGGTCAATGATCTAGTTTGAGTAGATTCTTTTTTAATGCTAAAATGTTTTCAGTTTCATCTTCTAATGTTTGGACTGGTTTTGCTATGTCTTTGAGAAAACATCTAAGAGCCAAAAACATTTATGACTTAAGCAGTATTTTAAAAGTTCCTTGTGTCTATTAACCAAACATCTTAGTGAATTTTCTATTTGCTCTAACAAAATACCTAAAGATGCATATTTATAAGGAGGAGAGGTTTATTTAGCTCACAATTTTGGAGGCTGCAAGTTCAAGATCAGGCCACCCCACTTGTTCACCTCTGGTGAGAGGTCACTGTGGTGAGAGTGCATGCAGTAGGGGAGAGGTGGTTAGCCAAACAGGATACCATCGAGAAATTCAAGCTTGCTCTTTTATGGTAACCCACTCTTGCAGGAACTAACTGAAGTGTCACAAGAATTCTGTCATTAACCCCCTTTAAGGGCAGCAAAACAATGACCTGTTCATTTTCTAGGTCCCATGTCTTAAAGGTTCTACTGCCTCTTAATGTAGCAATACTGAGGACCAAGTCTCTAATATATGAATAACCAAGTCTCTAATATATGACCAACCAAATCTGAACCCTGGGACCAACTAAAGTTGATATATGTTCTTCCAGCTTCAACATAAATTTAAATTTTATTAACCACAACAGCATCTGCATACATTTGAAAAGTATAGTATGTGGATATCCAGGTATTTAGCGTCTAGCTTGCGCTCAGGGCTTTGCAGATCGAGAAGTCTTCGCAATAATTCTGCCCTCCTGTGGTCACGTGGTGGTTTGCCATCCACAGATCTGCATCAATCTCTTTCTTTTAAAGATAAAGAAGCAGAGGTTCAGAGGAATCAGCTTCCCTATCAGGGTCAAACAGAGAGTTGGTGGCAAAGCTAGTCTGGAAGCTAAGTCTCCGGGATTCTGGTCCAGCACATGTTCTGTGACTGTGCTTATGATTGATGGAAATGGCCTCTAGCTGCTAGAAATTGAGTCTTCACTACAATAACCATTCCTCTGAACTAGTCCTTGCATTATATAAGTTCTTTGAAAGGATGGGCCATGTTTTCTAGACTATGAATGCCCAGTTTTGCACATCCATTGCTGTCTGCCCAACATTGTAATTGGGCAGTTGTGGAATCAGTGCTTGTTGACCCAATGGCTCCTTCCTTAGGTGAGGAACTACTTCATAGCAACCTATTTGTAATAGATACGCATTTGAAATACCTGGAAGAGAACTGGTTATAATGTACACAAATAGCATGAGATTTGATATTGGAATGACTAGCTTGAAACTTGGAGTCACTAATTAACTATATGTGCTGGAGCAAATGACCCAAATTTTTGAGTCCCAGTGAAAAAATAATACATACCCCAAAAGTTATATGTATGGATCAAATAAAGTAATGTACACGAGATCCTGGCAAAGCTGATATGTACGGAGGCCCCATCAATATCAGTTCCATCTCCTTTGCCATTGATGGAATAAAAATCCTATTTGTGGAATACAAAAGCTCAGCTCAATGAAAAGTGAAAACAAAACTCACCATTAAATATGAGGGTCAATTGTTCTTGGTGGAGCCTAGACTTGTGTTGCAGTTGTAGAAATGTTTGCAAAGTCAGACTTGGACTAGTCTCAGAGCCAAGCATGTTATCCAAAGAAGACAAAATGGAAAGAAGTGATCTTTGCAGCAGCTTGTGGAAATGAAGTAATATACTCAGCTTTCTTCATGCTGATATTTCTTTTAGCTCTGGTCTTTGTACTACAATCTGCAAGTTGTCATATGTTTCTTGTGAAAACTGCCTTTTTTTTCCTCAAAGCTGTTCTTTACAATTTTAGCCACTACTGTGGTGGCATAGATCCCACAAAGGCCTTGTGGGGGAGGACAGAGGGGAGAGCTGGGGTCACCTCACCCCAGCTTAAGCATCATGTCTTAAAGCAGAATTCAATCAGGATCACTCCAATAAATGTCTTTTGTTTCCTTCTCTTCCAAACACCCCAGGCCACAGCTTCCTGCTTGCTGCTGGCATTTTAATCCCCTGCTTGGCATTGCCTCGTGCTCTTGGCACAGTATGAATGACTCCTCTCATCCCCTACCCCCACCCCAGGCTTGGGCTCTGTCATCTGTGGCTGTCATTGCAGAGAGGCCCATGAAAGGTCCTAGAGGTGAACTGAAGTCAAGTGGCATTGCCTATGCCCTGACCCTGTCCAGTATATGGCACACCTTGGAACTAAGGATCCTCCTCTGCTTTCCTTGGTCTTCACAACCTTACAACCAGTATTTTTTTTTTCCAAGTGCTCGTCAGACCATCCCAGATCTCCTTCTGTTCTATCTATCTCTACCTCCCAGACCCACCCCATCAATATTTACCTACCTCTTTGAGACCTTAGATGTTCTAACATTTAACATTGCTTCAACATGGTCCTGTCCTAAGCAAAGCTTGGCCCCATCCTATTTCTCCTTTCGATAATCTACCTTCCCATCTTGTTACCTCTCTCCCGTCTGTCCTCAGATATCCAGTGCCCTGTGCAGCAGCCTGATTATTACTCAGGATGGACCACCTCCTTCTGCCTTTCCTCTGCTTCTGGCAGGGAAACATTGAATCAGCTAAGCCACACAGATACACTAAAGGTTATCACTTGTCACATATACCCAACACAGGGATTTTATTTTATTTTTTTGAGGGGAAAATAAAAAGATGTTTTCAATACAAACCAAATAGTCTCTAACTATAGAATCTGACACTGAGCCAGTATGGGGAAACTATTTCTAAGCAAATTATACTAGTGTTCTCTGCTCTTCTTTTGGCTTCAGAGCCACCATCAACACAAGAGCCAGGAGACTCACTGTTGCCCCACCGTACATCCCCCCACCAAAAGCCTCACCACTGCACACAGCCAAAGAGTCGTCAGGACAAATTCCATAATGTCTTCCATGCTCATGTCTGTGGATCTCTATAGAAACTCCAGGCAGGACCATTCTCTCAGACTCCGTACCCCTGACCCTAACCCAGTGTGATGTCATCCTGCCTTTCAAAGCCTTCCATTTGAGCCATTATTGTCAGTTAACACCCAGTTAATCCATATCAGAGGATTAATGCACTGATTAGGTTAAGGCTCTCATAGCCTGATGATTTCACCTCTAATTTCCTGCACTGTCTCCCACATGAGCTTTGGAGGGACACTTCATAAATAAATTATAACATACTCCTATTATGTTCTTTTGTCCAGCACAATGTTCTACCCAAACTGCCCATATCAGGGTTATTGATGATGACCATATTGTCAAACCCATGCTGATTTTCCAGTCCTTGTGTTTTTGGTCTATTAGTGACATTGGATAGTGCCAATTATTCCTTCCTTGAAACTCTTTTCTCAGTTGCTTTCACGATACCACACCTTCCTATTTCTCTTCTTTTATTTTTGGTCACTCCTCCTTGGGCTCTTGTGATGTTTCCTACTCTTAGGCTTGACCTCTAAATACTGTAGGAGCTGACAGCCCAAACATTGACCCTCTTTTTGCCTCTGCTTATACTGACTCCCTTGGTGATCTCATTCAGTTTCAAGCATCAAATACCATCTCCAAGACAATGGTGGCCATATTTATAGGGTCTTCTTCTGGATATCTTCAGGGTGCATTCCATCATTCCCTGGAAGTCTCAGCTCACATTTCACCTTACAGAGAAAACAAGTAGTGCTGTATTCTTAATAAAACAGTGTTGTAGCTACCCCTTCTCTCTATCCCCTTACTACATTTATTTTTCTACATAACTCTTTTCTCTCTCTGATACACACTTAGAAGTATATTGAAAACCTTTTGTAGACAGGGACATTGTCCATCTCCTGGAGTGTGTTGCACATAGAAAGCTACCAATAAACGGCTGTTGAATGAAAGCATGGTCTCATTAAGTCCTGACAACACCCCAATAATCCTATTAGAAGGATTATTACAGATGAACAAATAGCATTAGATTAACCCACTGTCCCACAGCTGGCAATTCAGGCAGACTGACTCCAGAGTCTGACTACCTAGCATGCTGGTAGAAGCCAGAGAATCCTTGGAGTCCAGAGACATGGATACTTTTATTGGATACAGAGTTTATCTTGAGGACAACAGAGAACATTGTTATAATGGTGTGGGAGGTAGGGGTAGTGACATGCCCTTGGTAAGGAGTTGACTCCATTGAAAATATACATGTAATTGTGTGTCTCCAGTTCTTAGGTCACTAAATCATGCTAACTCAGAGACTACTTTGGTACTTCATTGGAAAGTTTAGGCCAACAGTATATCTTATACTTTGCAAACATCAAACTGGCTTGTGCTGACAATATTTAAGTTCAATTCAGTTAAAAGCTTCAAAGCAACTTTACCTTGAGGTCTGTGAAGTTGAAAACCTTTCTTGCTGTTTCCATAGCAGTCTGATGGTTGATATAATTCCTAAAGAAGCTTATATGCTAAGGCCCAAGAACCCTTCGTTACATTCATGAGCTACTGACTCAAAATGCCATGACTTGAGCTAAATAGACTAGTGAAGTATTATGCCACTTAAAGAATATATTATAATTCAAACCATAATTAAAGAAGAGAAAGTTTCAAAAAATTTGATTGAATGAACCTTTTAAAAATGCATATTTGAAATATTTGACTTCTTTAAAGTTTGGGCTCCATGGATGCTGACCTTTCAGGGCCCTCACAGGAGGGGATTAGAAGATGTAAGAGATGTTTTCATGCAGGCAGTAGATGTGTTAGGTTAATAGATGCTAAAATCCACCATGTTTCCATAAAAAAAAAGAACTGCCATTTTCTGTTTTAAAGGGACCCAACTGTTCACCCTCCAATACCTCCAAAGCCCAGATCTCCTGTTCCTTCTCCTAACCAGCTGAGACCAGACAATAGGTAAGAACTGGCACTGCAGACTTTATTGCCAAAATGAAGTTCAAGGGAAATGGGAGTAAATGATCTGGGATCCACTTTGTGCCAGAGGTGAGGATGTTTTGCATGCACATTCACAAGTGAAGCACATAGAACTTTTCCTGATTTTATCTGTTAACATGCTTGTGTATTTATGTTTGCTTTTGAATGCTAATTCCTATTACTTGTCTTATGGAGATGCACTTTTGAGATAAAAACGGAACAATATATTCATGTTCATGTATTTGTGCTTAGGCTTCTTATATGTTAGCTTCTAATATTCACATACTGATGTATGTATGTACTTGGCATATATATTATATACATATACAATTATAAACCATATTAAACTATATGTATACATATTTGATTGATATCTACTCCTAGTTAAGTTTCCCATTAGGAGCTCTATATTCTGATGAAAAATGTCCTTGAAACTTTGTGTTACTACTGAAATCCTCAATTATGTTAGAAATACCTTTTGGGGTTTCTTTTTATTTTTTCTTAGCTAAGAAGGATAGTTTAATTCAAAACTCTCAAAAAATTTGAAAAATATTTGTATTAACTTGTCTCTGAAGCAGGAAAAACAGAGACGCTTTTCCATGTGAACCTGTCACTCTGTAATTAATAATTAGAAACATATTCAGAGATTTAAAATCTTCCCAAGTCTTCCTGTTCAATTGCTTAATAATCGTGAACCATTTTGCAAAACCTGCATTCCACATTTCCATTATTATTATGAGATTAAAAATGATATCAGTGAAAACTGAATACATTAGACTTGCCTTTGATTCTTTAGTATTTTTGCTTTTTGATGGTGATTTTTCTGACACCATGTAAGACACAATTGTAGAGCTGTTCTTAAAAAAGTCACAACTGCAGAACTTCAGTAAGAGGGTGACTGGCTGGAAATGCCGACCGTGACGCACCTTAGGTGTTCATCTTGTTGGGATAAAACTCCAGATCTGAACTTCTCTCCAGTGGAACTCCACCGGATCTTTGAAATTTTGCCCTCAGGATGACAGCATGTATATTTTCTAATGAGTTAAGAGAATATCTATTCAACAAACCAGTTAATAATATGGATTAGATGTGTAACTCTTCATTTGTTCAATGGTTATAATTGTCTCATTAAAACAGCTTCTCAAGCTTTTTCTCTTACCCGATTATTTTTCTTTTACTCTTATATAAAAGAAGTATTGAGCAATTAAATCTTAATGTAAATAGGATTTTTTAAAAACCCAAAGAAAATTGCCTTGTACCACCTAAATTCTAATCTAAAAATCAGCAACACATAGTTAACTTTAGATTTTCCAAAAAAGCTAAATTTCACAGGAATTGGTCTAGTCAAATTTTACTACTTGAATCTTTTTCTTCCATAAATGATCTGAAAAATAAAATTGGGACAACTTGCATGTTTTTTTAAAGGCTGATTACTTTAATCACAGCAAGATGATTTTAATGAAAGAATATGAAAGGGAAGTGTTTCCTATGTAATTAACACATGTCCTCAGGAGAACAAAAAATAGTTGAATACAGCTCCTTGAGAGCAAGCAAGCGAGTATAAGTAGGTCAACCAGATACTGAGAAGAGCAGAGAAAAGCCTGATGTCATAAATTGTGACAGACGCTAGCATTGTAAAATTTGATGCTGTCAGCTCAATGGGGCCATTCTCAACATGGTAGTTGCATTTGAAATATAGACTTATTTCCTGTCTTGTCCAAGCAAATGTATTTCTTGACAGTTATCAGATGGGATAAGTCTTCAAGGAAAACATCATCCCTTTGATGCTTAATAACAAAAAATATTCTTAATATTTTAAAATGTTATTTCATTATCTAATGGAGATATGTATGAAAGTGCTTTGACGAACAGAGAACAAAAGAGTGAACATGAACATGTGAGAACAGATATTTCTAAACACACCTTGTTGTACAAAATATATTAAAACAAGGTGAAATTATAAAATTAGTATATTGGAGTCTTTATATTTTTTTCATTTTTCTATTGGTGTTGTATAATTGTACATAATAGTGGATTATTGTTTCATATTCATACATGCACATGATATAACAATATAATTTGGTCAATAATATATGTATTTTTGTACTCTCTAGAAACTTTCAAACAGGAAATAGTTGAGTTGCTGCCAACCCAAAGAACTAGGGTAGAGTTTGCTATGTTAAGTAGCAATATGATTTCAACATATACTGCTCATTTTTAACACAAATATTTCCTTCTGTTAAATTTAAATTTAACATAGAAATGTTTTCTTATCTAACAGACATTATCTTTAAATACAGGCAGATATGTCCACCTAAGCCAGGTGTATATACGGAAACCAGCAGATCTGTTGAAAGAAATATAAGGTACAATGATCTCTGTCTATATAGATCTAATTGTAGCAGTGGTAAAATATGTTTTATTAGTACACTTCAAAAATATGAAACAATAATAAAAGATAAAATTAATTTTTCTGATGGCTTTAATATAGTGGATAATAAATGCTTTTATAGTACTTACAGAATTTTGATCCTTGTATTTCTTTTTTTTTAAGTATTTTTTTAGTTGTAGTTGACACATACCTTTATTTAATTTATTTATTTTTACGTGGTGCTGAGGATCAAACCCAGGGCCTTACATGTGTTAGGCGAGTGCTCTACCACTGAGCCACAACCCCAGCCTTGTATTTCAATCCTAAACTTTACATTGAGCAAACAACCAAAATGTCTTGAGCATAGTAACAGAGTAAGATCAAATCTCTTGAAACTTGTTCACTTTGGTAGTCCCAGCACTTGCCTCCAGGTCTGTGGCATAGTTAGTGCAGGTATATGAATGAATAGGCAGAAAGATATCATTTGGTTGAACTTGTACTACAAGAGCTTTAGTAGTATTTGTGATAGAAAGTCAAGTCCAGCTCGCCCTGCAGCATAAGGAACAGGCTCACAAATTGTGTTGATTCCTTTGGGTAGGGTGGCATTTCCCAAATGCCTGGCTTCTCCAGGACAGTCCTGATTGACACCTATTGTTTTGCACATCCTGTCTAGTTTAACATGTGTTCTAGATTGTATCTTGTCTGTCTGTTTATTTTCTTTTTTTAAGGAAAAAAAATACCAGTTTTAAAAATACTTTTTGAGCAATGCTATTTTTGTAGGTACTTCAACATCGTAAACCAATTTTCAGTAAATAATTTTTGACAGATTTTTAAAGTTCCAATTTATAAACTTTTTTTCAGTATTATCTCTCCTTTGATGCTCAGAAGAGTCAGGTTTGAGACACCCACCACACAGATACCTTACCTCTGGGAGAATCATCTTTTCCTTGCACCTAGAAACTTAAAGTGGAGCTCTCTGCATTTCACTAAACTGTGTTCCCCTTAACACAGATGTCAATGCATGTTCTGGAAAGAAAGGGTTGAATGGTCTAGTACACAAGGAAACAATGACATAGTGTTCTCTTGATTAGAACTTTCCAGAACCTTCAGCATGCCTGTGTGAATTTTGAATCACCTAAAGTAGGTTACATTTCCTAAACTCAGTTGATGACAACATTTTTTTTTCTTCATGCAACCATATTAACCCTCTATGAGACATTTGTGAAAATGCAGGTCTTAATTATAGGTGAAACTATAAGGACTAAATTATTCCTTTCCATGATCTAGGGAGGTCAGCCTGGGTCTAAGCCTTCTGTGTCTCAGGTGCTTCGACCAATAGTTTAAGTGTCTTTTCTTTCCCCTCTGAAACGCTGAGATGACAGATATTTTCACCCTGTTTGAGAGACTCATTAATTGTTCACACCTATCGGTTAATGCTCCTTGGATCTGGAAGAAAGACTTCTGAACTTGGCTTCTGTTTTTCCTTGTGCTGTAACTGCATTTTCTTTTATATGTCCTTTTTAAAGTGTGGAGCTTGAGAACCAATAGAGGGATTTCCAGCACCCAGGTGAAATGACATTGCATAGGCTACAGACGTGCGTGTGTGTGTGTGTGTGTGTGTGTGTGTGTTGTGAGCTGATATGATAGCACCGTTTTGTTATTCTGCTCAAGTCAGTAATTCCTGAACAACGCATGTACTACAAATTTCTGCACTAGAAACAAATGAGAAATGTTAGCTCCTTCAAAGCTCACTCCACTGTCATTGACCTGTGCCTCTTCCCATTGTTTGAAGGAGTCAGGATCGTGATAACATCGTCAAGGTGGCCACATCAATGGGGAAAACTGACAAAGGGTGAGTGGTCTGAGAGCTCACAAGCTGTGTCAAAATGCCTTGTGTCAAAAACGCCTCACCAGTACCTTGAAAATGTCCAAATATGAACAAAATCTCGGTGCTTTTTTATTACGTATAATTTCAAAGACAAATAATTGAATAATGGATGATGGTGACATTTATGGACACTCTTCTGCTTCCTCTTCTGCTGATTTTATCTGTCCTGTGACCTTAGCCACCACATCTCATTCCAAATCTCCAGTCCTTTATTTATGTTGTTGGCCCAGATCTCTACTTATCAGTCTCCCCAACACCCCATTTAGGATGTCCTAGGCTGTATTCAATTTCCTTTCCAAAGGTGCTATTTCCTGACTTCTGTTCTTTAATTTCTGTAGTCTCACCTTTGTGAAATCATTCTTGATTATTTCATCCCTACCCCCCTTCATGTAGTATAGACAGGTATGAATTAAATATCTAAAATGCTTCCTCTGCATTGATGGTTTCTCCCAGTTCAATCCCTCATCGACTGCCTCATAGTGGTTAGAGTGGTTGGTCAGATTTACTTATGCTACTCAGTCTCTCCTGCCTCTGAACCATAACTGCCCATCAGTGCCAGAGATTTTTTTTTTCTATTAAGTTTTTGCTCATACAACTACTGTCCTGGCTCCCCATCACCCATTTAATTACATACAAACTCATTCAATGCTGTTGCTTAACCTGGCTCCAAGTCTGATGCTCCAGAGTTATTTCTGACTTCACCTATGTTGTTAATCCTATATTCAGTACCAGATGAGACCACTACCTTACAGTATCCCCAGATACTCTGCCTTGGTTTAGGGATCCCCTCCATGTGACAGTCTTCTCTAGCCTCAAGGTCACCATTTCAGTCCATCCAAGTCCTACTATTTTTCCAGATCCAGATCAAACACCACCTCCCCTGTGAATTCTTTACTGAGTGATCCAGTGAGATGTGACTTCTGCCTCTCTAAGAGATTGGAGCCCCACTGTTCCTATTTTGCAAAGCTCATAACAGTTGCTCTTGTTCCATGTTATTTGTGTAAGTGGGTCCCCTCCCTCTCATCCCATAATCTTCAGGGCAGATATGCTGTCTTATTTGCCAGATGTGATTTTCAGTATCTGTCACACTGTTTTGTCCAAAGGAGGTGTTTATAGCTGATCATGTTAAAATCATGAAGGGCAGTGAGACAACCTAGAGTTCAAATATTCCATTGTTTAAATTCCAAACCCACAATATTTTTCCTTGTTGGATAGAAGTCAATAATGATAAGAATGTTACTAGAGATTTCTGTCTCAGTCAAAAGAACTGAAGAAACAAAGTGACACTTGGTGTTTCTCTATAAATTCATTAGCCCATAGGCACTCTGCAGCCACATGGAGACTGTCGAAAGAATTTGGATGTTTTATGTCCATTTCTTCTCCCATCTAAGTTGCTAATGCTCTCATTTTATTAATTTACTTTGTGTGGAAGATATTTTGTTTTCAGTAGGGACTGAACAATTTTTGGGTGGGCGATGGGGACATTTGGGAGGAGATAAGTGAGTGATGCTAAGAGGAAATTGTGGTTTGGCATTAATCAAAGAAAAACAATGAGGGCAGCAGACTTTCCTGTCTCCACCTCCAACCCACAATGGACAAATTTCACAGCCACACACGTTCATCTCATAGAGAAGTCGTTGCTTTGATAAGCACCAGGGACAATGTACTACAGGCTGTCCAGAGGGAATAGAAATGGTGTTATTTATTCCAGCTGCTCTTTGTGGACTAAATGTTACTGCTATCTGATTAAGGGCATTTAATTTGTTGCAAATGCAATGGTGAAATTGAATAGCCAAAGCTTTCACTGATTTACAGTCATGTTTAAAGCTCAAGTTTTTTTATGTAGAATATAGTTTCCATTTTATTTAATTTACCACAGAGTATCTTCTCATGGTTTATGCTAATCTTCTTCAGATAAACACAAGCAACCCTGAATCCTGAGAACCTCTTCAGTGTGACTCATGCCAGTCAGAATGGTCTGGAACAAAATTTATAGGACTCTTAGCTTTGCTCTTTTCCTTGGGACATGAGCAGATTCACATCCTCAGAGTTGGCAGGTAAAATTTTGAGCAAGAAAAAATAACAGGACACCATATTAGGGTTGATGTGGTATTTGTCCCACACAAGGATAGAGCACTAATCAATTTTTTTTTTTGGTCAGTGTCAGCAACTTTTGTATTTCGATATTTATTCTCAGCTTTCAGTCCTATCATTAAATACATAAGATTATGTGAAATTCTTCCCCTATATGATGGCTGTTAACATTTTTAGGGTTTCCACAAGATTGCCTTTGGCAGCTATTATGGTAAAAGTGTTATGCTAGGCATCTTTACTGCACAAAGTGACTTAGCCACTGCAAGGCTATGACATTGTCTTGATGTCTTTAAATTCAGTTAATAAATAAATATAGAAAACATTTACTACATGAACCATCTAGAATTGACAGAATGCTGTTTATTATGCTGGCAGAATTAATTGAGAATTTATGACTTGCTGGGCATCATGCTAAGCACTCTATATTCATTAACTTAGCCATTTTTATCTGATATACATACAATTAGCATTCTCATTTTACAGATGGGAAAATTGAGCCAACAAGAGTTGAGGCAACTCAGCTAGGGTCACCAGTGAATGACTGGTGAATCCCAGACTGGAATGTGGGTGTCTCTGAATTGGAAGATTTAATGTGTAACTACAAGTTACAAGTTCTTACGGCCTCCTGGTCATCACCTAACCCTAACCCTAACCCTAACTCCAGAGGTTACTCAGGAAGAAAGCGGGACAATAAGAATGCTTGGGAAACTGTGCAAGCCTAGAGGAGAAAGAAGAGGAACCAAGATTTGTGAATGGAGAATCTAAATGAGGAAGGCAAGAGAAATGGGTAGAAGAGGGAGAGAAAAGTTTGGGAGAAGACACAGTGTGAGGAGAAATGTACCGGAGGAAGCAAGTCAGGGCACTCTTGGGAACAACTCTCCCCAGGCTACCTGCTTGGGGAAGAAAACTGAGTTTTTGTGGTTTCAGGGAAATTCCTGAACCCAGGATTTTGGCTTAAATAGGTTACTCCTAAAACAAACAATCAGAACTTCGCAGTTCTCAGATATGGCTAGTACTTGCTAGCACTTTTAGCTGACTGACCTAGATGGGTAATAGTAGAATTCCAGATAGAAGCCAGACTTACAGATGAGTGAGCATCTTCCATAGCTACTTTATGTGCAGATACTTCATGCAGGGACAGAATCTAGAGTCAGCACCTGTATTTGTTGATTCAATTAAAAATGTGTATTAAGGATCTACTTAAAAGCACAGTATTAAAGACTGAAGAGGATGCCATATAAAATACAGTTCTAAATTTCAAGTGATGTGTGTATGTAGGAGCAGGGACACTAACATAAGACAAGTGTGCAGTTGCTATAATACAAAGTATAATCAACAGAAGCACCTTAAAGGAGATGCCCCAAACTCCAAATACTGTAACTATTCCAAAAACGTAGGGAAGTTCAGTCAGTTGGAGGACTGGGGACTAGGACCTTGGAAGTGGCATTTAAGGAGAGCCTTGAAGATTAAACAGGAGTTTTGCAGGTGATTTAGGTAGGATATGTGTTGTATTTCAGAGAACTGAGTTATTTTAAGGTATATCTACCCATCAACTCTGAGCAGCCTTTTACTAATATGAGTTTTCTTTTTCTTTTCCAAAAAGTGAAGAATTGGATAATATCATCAAAATGAACAAAAGCTTGAACAGGTAAGACTTAAAAATTAAGACTTTATTTATTCTCAGCCTTCAGTCCTATCATTGGATACAAAGTGTCTTTGATTTTCATACTGCATATGCTTCATATAAATAACCACATTTTTAAGTGAAATATTAATACGCTCTATATACACAGAGTTTGGTTTGATTGCCGAATGCTTTTAGCTTAACCATTTCAAAACCCATAATATCCTAGTTACCATTATCTCTTTATCTTGGATCATTTATAATTGTAAAACTTAAATTACGTTGAAAGAAAAATTTACAATGGAGGCAGAAAGGGTGTATTTCATTTTAGTTATCTCTCTGTTACTTTGTATGCTAACAAACTAAGTCAGCAGGGACCAAAGAAAAGGAGAAAATTTTTTAAAAAGTCAAATGAATGAATCAGTCAGAGGATTGTGAGATAAGATTTTCATATCAGGCTCTAGACAGTAATGATCTATCGACAAGTCACTGAAATTTGCCGCTTTTCAGTTTTCTCATTTACAAAGAGAGGAAGTTTCAGACAGGCAGTTGCCAGAGGTGACTGGCTGTATGAAACAGGTAGTGGTGGAACCAAGTCAGAAATGGTGAATGTCTTGCCAGAAGCACCAGTTTGACTTCTCAGTTTCAGCTAAGGGTTACCACAGGCAAATTTGGGTCCACTCTTGCAGGACATTTTCAGGAGACTCTGAATATTTAGGATCATGACCATCCCTGTAAACACTAGCTCACATTAAAAAGAATGACATATATCCAAGCAACGCATTCATGAACCTATTGGCAGACCCCCAGTTTATGTCTTTTAATTCATCTTCTCGAAGCTTTACTACAATTTAATTTTGAGTGAAAATACCTATTTGGAATAAAGCAATTTAAAGAATTGTGGTTCATCTTTTCCAACCAGCTTCTATTTCCTATTTTAGATGTAAACTGATCTATGTTTATATTTTAAAGTTAAACATTCATCATTATTACTGCTGAGACTTTTTTACATCAATATGTTTAAAGGAATCAAGGTCTTGATGGTCTCTTCAAAGCAAACCCAAAGGCTGAGCAAACAGAGAAAAGGTAAGCGCATCTGTCTCTGATCCGAAAATCTTATCTCCCAGACTGCTTGTCTTACTCCTCACATGTTATCTGGAAGGGAGTTGATCCTCTAGCATGGAAATGCATGAGCAGATGGGCTAGTGCTCTCTGCATTGTACATTGAGTTCAGATACAATTGCCCGGAAGGATTTTTACTCTTCTATTCAATGGGAGTAAATGAGCAATTCATGGAGAATGTTTATTGTATTTGACCTTTCAAGATACCACACAATTTAATTTCAGTGTGCAGTTTTTATTTGAGTTTCTCTGTATTTATAGAGCCAAAAGTCTTGAGAGTCTCATCTATGTGAATACTTTGATGGACAAAGGTGGCAAAGGGTAAGATTTGATCAAGACAGGCTGCTTTGGTTGGGTCCTAGTGTGTCTACTATTTTCTGGGGGAGACCTCTTTCTCAGGGCAAGGGTCAGGCCGGCTGGAGGAACAGGCCCTAGATCACAATCAGGAGAGGGTGGGAGTCTCAGTGCTGGCTTTGCCTGCAGCATCAATATGGGTGACCATGGGGACCTCTGTTTCCTCAACCCATAAACTAGGGGCTATGACCTGGCTGATCTCCAAGTTCCCTTTGATTCTAAAAGTGAAAGAAACTCAACTGGCTATTACAAATAGAAAACCATTGCATTGTTTATGCATTTACAGTTACTGTAAGACTGTTTCTGGGGATATAGCTGCTCAATGTTGAAGTCTTTAAAACGTGGATTCCAGCTGTACCAAGTTGGAATCTTAGTAGCCTCTTCATATGTATATGTATACAAATGTATTTATAAATAACTTAAGGCCCAAAGCCATGCTTTTATTTATTTTGTATCACAAAATGAGTTAATGCATGATCAGTAACTAAACTAACAGCATTTGAGAGATTAATATACTGGTCTACTATAAAATTAACTTTAATTATTGACATCCTTTTTCATGTTGAAAGAAACCAAACTCTTGACAGTGTCATTAAAGAAAATCCCAGAGCACTCAAGAATGACAAAGGGTAAGGATTCATGAGATTTCTATTATTTTTCCCCAAAATTGGTTACTTCCTTTGTATTTGGTTAGTCATTTTTATTTGCCTTCCTAACATGATAATCATTTCTATTGTTATTTTTAAAAACCATTTATCTGTGCCAATCTGTGTATAGAATGGTATTCTAACTTTCCAAGTCGATCTTGGCAGCTATGTTCTCAATTCTTTCTGATAAACTGAACTCTGAACAGAGTCCATATGATGGAAAGTGTTGGCAGTAACAATCACACAGACACAGGATGTTTGATAAAAACATTTTTCATGTAAATGTGCCAACTCATCACAGGTGATTTTTAAATGGAGACTAGATGAAGGTGGAAAAAGTCAATTCTCTTTGAGGGGTTTTATGAGTTTTATAGGAAGAGATAAAGTTTAGATATATAAAAGCAGAGTTTGGAAAATTCCACAAAACCGGTGGTAAATGGGAAGAAAAATAGGAAGAACATCTCAGGAGGATCATTTTTGGGGATATGAAAGAGAAAGAAGTGTTTGTAATCTAGAATAACTTGATAGCAACTAAACTTTAATGCAGGAATAAAGATCTTGTCAGCATAGGAAAAAAAGAGTCCAAGAGTCCTAGCTCTTTTTCCTTCTTCCCCACTTCTTTCTTTCTCTGGAGGGGTGCTTAACCACCCAGCCACACCCCCAGCCCCTTTTTAAATTTTTTTTTTTTATTTTTGAGACAGGGTCTTGCTAAATTGCTTTAGGCCTTGATAAGTTGCTGAGGCTGGTCTCAAAGTGATGATTCTCCTGTCTTAGCCTCCTGAGCTGCTGGGATGACAGGCCTTTGTCACTGCACCTTCTTTCTAATAGTAAAAGAACTTACAATGTTAACAGTCTTACCACAGTGAAATCAGACAGAAGGAAATGGCAGTTTAACAACTGGGGAATTTGAAGGATCAGCTTTCATATTCTCTACTGATTTTTAGTTTTTGATGTATGAAAGTTTTATTCCATGTGCCAGTTCACACAAAGTATACCGGAGCCATAATAGTGTTATTTCAACTTTTCAAGGGAACTTCAGACCTTTAAATACATCCTTAAACTTTTTAGAAGAAATTACTTGACTAAATCCTCCAAGTATTTAGATTTAAAATGTTGACCAATTGATTTTCACTCTGTTACGAATGATTTTCATACTTAAATAAGTCAACATCTTGCTGTATAGACTGAAGTTCACCTCCCTCCAAACCTCTCTCCAAGAAGCAAAAACTGAGACCTGGGAGGAACTTTAACTTTGAAGTTGATTCAGTTGTATCTGAGTAATGGTTGGACTCTTATATCAAGATATCTTGAGCATTTTGCATCATGAATAGAGCCATTTGAATTAAATATTTTGGTATCAGGGATTGAACTCAGGGGCATTCGACCACTAAGCCACATCCCCAGCGCTATTTTTATTTAGAGACAAGGTCTCACTAAGTTGCTTAGTACCTCACTGTGGCTGAGGCTGGCTTTGAACTCATGATTTTCCTGTCTCAGTCTCCCGAGCTGCTGGGATTACAGGTGTGTGCCACCACATCTGGCCAAGAACTTCTAATTCTTTAAGCACCAATTATGTCTAAGTCTTGTGCAAAGTCTGCTGCTGTCATATGAGATTCTGAACAGAGCACAGAACTGCCCTCTTTCTGTCTCTTGCTCTGCCTTTTCTTTTCTCCTAGTATTACAAAGAAACCAAGGCTTGGGCAGTATTAATAAAGTTAATCAAAGGACTGACACATATGAGAAAGTGTAAGTAGCATTCCCACCTTGAGGTGGCTCTTTTTTCAGGTCTTTCACCTCATTACACACAGGAGAGTTATGCTGTCCTTTGCCACAGACAAACTATTTAGAGACATCAGGGAGGAGTATGATGAGTGCAGTTTCCACAGACCACGTGTTTGAGTTGCATTGAAGTAGGTGTAGGAAAACCTGCTACATAATCTCTTATTTTGTGTTTTCTTAAATAATTTAAAAATGAACCAATTTTTAAATGTAAATTTAGAAATATAAAGGATAAGTTGTAAAGTGAGAGTCATGTTGGGAAGCTTCTCTAAACTGATTTAAACTGATGTGAATCAAGCACTATTGTGGATATTAATAAAGATAAGCTAAGGATAAGTATCAAAGGTCTTTCTGGTCCTTTGGTCCTAAAAACACCTGACGCTGCATTCAACATTCTTATTTATACAATTTCACAGAAAACTGTATTTCACCTGATTTAAAGTTTTGATTTTTTTTTTCCCAAAGAAGCCGAGATCTTCAATCTATTATCAAATCAAATGCCAAGACAGAGAAAACCAGCAAAGGGTGAGAACTGTGTCTCTGAGTCTTGGTTGTTTATTCCCAGATTCATTGGTGGTCTTCTCAGTGATGTTGAGAGTATCTATTGCATCTCTGTGTTTGTCTTCTCTCTTCCGACTCATCTCTGATGCCCTGATCTTCACTTTGAAAAGTCTATAGGATATTCTATGTAAATTCACATTTACACAGAACTCATAAAATCCTAGGGATCAACTATACTATTGTTAGGCAATTTTTATACCAAAAAATCAATTTAATATCAGTGTAATAATTTTGTCCCCAAACGTGAATAAACCATCAATAATATGGAATTCATATGTGTACCTATACTATGGGAATATTTGAAAGTGACCTAAATGTTTCTTTTTAAAGAGATGAAGATTTCGAGAATATAATCAAAGTCAGTCCCAAAGGAAAGGAAAATGTATCTGGGTAAGACTTATTAATGTATTTAATTTTGATTTCTGTAAGAGATGATCAAAATAATTTGATTTTTTAGCTTCATGATAAAGATGGGTCATGACCATCCCTTCTTGACCTCCCCCCACATAAAACCACTATTTTTGAAGAATGTTCCAGAGTGTTCCACAGTTCGATAGCAAGTTGCCTTTTCTCCCAGTTTTGGGTGTTGATTTATTTTTAGTGATGGAAAACTGAGTTGCATTTCTTTTTCTAAAGAATGCAGTCTTGATGAAATTTTTGAAGTAGGTTTCCAAAATGACAAAGATAACCAAGAGAAAGGCTTAGTTAAAATGCTCATAATTATCTTCTCTCAGAAGAAGTCAGCTAGGGAGAGGCTGGGAGTCCTTACTTTGCACAGGGAGTAAGGGCTCACCACCACTATCTGCTGTTTGGAGCTGTCAATGTGGCAGCCATACCTGTCACAATGCTCTTGTTATCCCCAACATGTTAACAGTCTCACCACAGAGAAATCAGACAGAAAAAATGGCAGTTTAACAACTGGGGAATTTGAAGGATCAGCTTTTATATTCTCTAATAATTTTCAGTCTTTGATGTATGAAAGTTTTATTTCATTGCCAATTTGAACCCCTTTTGGTAGCACTTATTTTTATTTTTTACTTTTTGGTAGCACTTAATACATTGGGGTGTGTGTTCCCTTGAAAGTGAATCATAATTTTGCTTATGAGGTATTTTCTTTTTCTTTTTTTATTACTCACCATAATTTACTTTGAGGCAAATTATATTTTAAAAGGTTTAGACTGGGGCAATGATTAAGTTTATATGAAGGCATGTTTTGTTATGATTATTATTTTTATATTGTTAAAATATTATTTATGTGAACATTTTACTATTATTTAAAAACAGAACAGGCAGTTATATCGAATTTGTTGAGTAAAAATTTAGGTTTGGTATGAATCAGTAAAGGTCCGAATCAGTAAAGAATTTTTAAGCTGGGTGTGGTGGCGCACACCTGTAATCCCAGCTACTCTAGAGGCTGAGACAGAGAATTGTAAGTTCGAGGACAGCCCAGGAAACTTAGCAAGACCCTGCCTCAAAAAATAAAAAGGGATGAGGATGTAGCTCAGTGGTAGAACATCACTGAGTTTAATTGCCCCAATACCACAGTGAAAAAAATAATCTAACTTACATTACTTCAGTGCTGCCTATTTTGAGAGTTCTCAGAAGATATATCTGAGAGCAAAGTTGATTTTGTTCAATTACAAGTTTCATATACTTAGGAATTCTGGAAGCAAATATATATTAACAAATAAATATTGTTTCTTACTAATAAATAACCTTAAATGTTCTTCGGTAAGAGAATTTCCATTTTCTTTTAGAGCTTCAAATGTTTTCATTATCATAGAGAACGTTTATATTTAGCACTTCTTAATTTTTCCAACCATTATTCATTTGATTACTGTTTTATTTTATGTCATTCATTAAAACTCATCTTCTTTTTCAAAGAAAACAAGACTTCAATGGGCTTATTAAAGTGAATCCTGAAACAAATAAAAACATCAAGAGGTAAAACATTTAGAACCCTCTTCCCCCCTTTATGTGGCATTTATAAGCATTATGTTAGAATTCTGAGTGCGTGTATTCAGAACAGTATTTGAAGTTCATTTGTGTGTATAAGTGCATATGTGCATATAAATGTGTGTAAGTAAAAGTGTATGAATGTGTATGTGCAAGTAATGTGTGTACCTGTATGTGTGCATGTGTGTATATATCAGTAGTGTGTGTACATGCACATGTGTTATAAGTTGTGTATATGTATAAATGTATGTGTGTGTATGGGTAAGTAATGTATGTGTGTGAACTATTGTGGTATATTTGTGTATAGTGTGTGTATGTGCATGCAGTGTGGTGTATATGTGAAGATTGCAAGCTTAGAGCATGCTTGATTAAAAGAGTTCTTCTACTTATGAAATATCAAGTAAGTCTACAGAGATGATGTGCTCTTGCTTATTATTCTTTTTAAAGCAGATGGAATATTTTTGAAACTGGGCTTGTTGGCATATTGTTGAAAACAGTGTGCTAAGTAATTCCATGTGGTTTCCCTTGAACTCTTTCCATTCAGTTAACAGTACATGATATTATTTGTTAATTCTAAAATGTGTCATCAATGCCCGTAGGCTCCACTGGCAGAGCAAGGGCTCAGCTAGCTAAAAGCTGGGGTGCACACTGTCAAGCTGTCCTGCTCTTGGCCATGTGGTATAGCCAAAGGCACAATCTCACCATCAACAGGATGAGGACAAAACGTGGATTACCTAGGTGACATGGAAGGTTCAGGGTGATAATATGCAGTGAATTTGAGCAGGGAGCCGGAAAGAACTGGGTTCAAATTCTGATTCTTGCTAACTGTGTTTCTGCACCTCAATTTACTCATCTAACAAAGATGGATCAGATCACAATACTCTCATGCCTGGCACATAAGAGACATAAGTTGTTACAATAATAAAGATCCAGGTGAATTGTACTGTCTTATTGATCTAGATGGTGTTCAAATATTTAGTTTACTTTGACTTTTGAGAAAAATCTTTTTTCCTTTCCAATTTTTTTAATTAATCTTTCAAATGGTGACCTATATTTCTTAATATATTGGAGTATGTATGTATATACATGCCTATGTGTGCACACATGCATATACACATACAAATGTTTGTGGGCATGTGTGCATTCACATACATGTATGTGTATGCTTGTGTGCATATGGAAGCATGCATACACACAAATGTACACGTGTGTAATTGCATACCTGTACATATGCTTGTGTGTTCATGAGTATAAGTAAGTATAAGTGTGCTTTTGTGTATATATGAGTGCATATGTACATGGATGCATGTGTAATTGCATGTGTGAACTTATGTGCAGTGTGTGCATCTATATTTTTATGTATGTGCTTTCCTGGGCTATTAGGATAGTAGTTGTTAATTTCTTTTACTATACATAAAGAAGTTCTGTAGATCTTTAAAAAATAAAGTCAGATCATGTTTCTTTCCCTTAAAAAAAATGTTTCAATGTTCTCCCGTTTCAGATAGAATAGAATTCTAATGCTTAGCAATGGTCTTTTACTTTCTCGGTAAAGCCCTGCCAGATGGATCTCTCCTATTCCAGGCTCATTCCTGCCTTAAGGCTTGGCAGGTGCTGCTCCCGCTTGCTGAAATGCTCTATGCCCACACTGTCACCTTCTCAGGTCATTTCTGACCACTGAATATAATTAAATCACCTCCCTTCGCCCTGTCCCCAGTGCCACAGGCTCCAGGCACTCTTTTTATTTTTTTAATAGCACATATTGTTATCTGAAATTGCAGCATTCATTTATATACTCAATTGTCTATTTCCTGCCTCTCCCCAAGTTGGAACAGAAGCCTGGTGTGAGCCGGTCATGCGTCTGCTGTGCTCACATCCACCCTAACACTTGAGGCAGAGCCTAGCCCTAGTCCACTGGGCTTTCCAACCTGTGTCCTGAAAGAATGCCTAACTACTGAAGATGTGTTCACTGTGAGGCATTGCTTCACAGAGTTAAGTCCTAATATTATGTACACTATTACATCAATTAGGTTGTACATTAATTAGTTCACTTTTTTGATTGATTTTGATTTTATGAACTAAGAAATTTAAACAACCTTATACTGTTATGTGCCTGATTGAGTGTTTAAAGACATCAAAGTCCTGGCAATATAATGAAAACAGATTCCATAAACAACAAAGGAAGGAATTATAATATTTAACTGCTTGCTTGCTTTTTTTTTTTTAATACTCAGATCTGGAAAGAGAAACATGGGGATTGTTTTCTCAGTCCCTGACAATCAAATCCCATATACTTCATTTAGGCAAAGGTCAACAAGGAGTAATCTGGAGTTGAGTGGTTGTTTCTGTGAGGTTAATTGTTTCATTCTCTGCTTGAAAAGGTTCACGTTTTTTGTTCTTGTTTGATCCTCAGACATCTGTATACATGCAAAAAACTTGGATCCACATCTGGTTGCTTCCAAATATCCATATTCACAACTTTTTTCAAATATTCATATCTTTGATGTTGTGTAGACAAAACCTCAGACTGTTTTGGAAGGGATCTTAGTAGGGTCCAAAGTGTAGAGAAACGGTGTGAAATACCCTCCTGCTGATGTTCTTATCCCCACTCGGTTCGGTTCGGTGCCTGCTGGAGATCAGACAGGCATTTGTTGGCACTGTGTATGTGGAAAACACATGCAGATGCAACAAGAAAAGCAGAATTCCATTAAGATCAAAAGTAGACATGTATCAAAGGGTAACCATGAAATACCAAAGTGTTTTTAGTGATTTTGTATAGTCGATATGTCTTACACCTCAGAACTCTATAGATTTTAATCTTCTTACACCTCAGAACTCTATAGATTTTAATCTTCTTATTGTCCGTTGCCAAAATGATAGGTCAAAATGAGTCATTCTAACACAGAGTTCTAAGTATCAGAAACACATACCAGTTCACGTATTGTGAATTTCAGCATATCAGTGTATTTGCTTAATACACTTTTGTGACAGTCAGTCTACCAGTGAATGTCAAATTCACAAAGCATGGACTCTTCACGGCTGGTTTTAAAGTTCTATACATGTTGGAGGTTGATATTAAGGGAGTATGCCTTCTGTGATTTTCCTTAAGATAAGTACATAGACTGACATAAAACATATCATGTGTACATGCCAAAGACTAACAGCGGAGTATTAAATACACTGAAATAGAGTCTGTTATTTTTCTGTTAAGCACTTTTTTTTCCTTGATGCAAAATTTGCTAGGGGCCAAATGTCTCCAAGACGGAAAGACTGTTTTGCTGAGTCCCAGTAAGTTGCAGAGAGGTAGAAACGCTCCATGCATGATAGTCACCTTTAATAGTTTTCAGCTCTGACATGATCTCAGTGCGCACTTATACTGTTTCTGAGATTTAATGAATGACTTCATTCATTTGTGAAAAACTACCATTAACCTCATCATTTCTTCAATGTTTTAAAGGGGCCAGAGTCTTGAAAATCTGATCAAAGTGACCCCCGAAGCAAACAGAAGGAACCAAAGGTGAGGATTATGTTTTATCTCTCTTCCTCTCCCTCCTCATCAATTTGTGTCAGAGGATGAAAAGCCTTTGGATCAGAATCAGAAAGTCCAAACCTCATTACTTACTAGCTGGGTGTCTTTGAGCAAGTCCCTTGAATACTGAATTACAGCTTTTACCTTCTTCTTTCTTTCTTTTCTTTTTCTGGAACTAGAGAACCTAGAGATACTTTACCATTGAGCTTTATCCCCAGCCATTTTTATTTTATTTTGATTTAATTTTATACAGCTCTTACTAAGTTGCTGAAGCTGGTCTCAAACTTGCCATCCTCCTGCCTCAGCCTCCCAAGTCACTGGGATTACAGGCATGCACTACAATGTCCAGTTTGAGTCATAGTTTCTTTTCCAGAATGAGGTCCATAATATTCATTCTGCTTTGGCACCGGATAGTTGTTAAGAATCAAGTGTAATAATGGATATAAAATACCTTTAAAACAAAAAGGTACTACAGATGAATTTTACCAACAAAACAGTTTAGTTATAGTGATAACATTAGGTGAAATGCTTATAGAAACTGGGCAAGAGTTTTAGGCAAATCGTTATATTGTGCTTGAATCAATTACTTTTTAGAAAACTCAATCTTGTCCTAATTTTATAGTTTTATTTTGACGATAAATGCAAAACCAAGCCAGTATATCAATGATTTGTATAAAGCTCAAAATGTTTACTCTTTTAAAGGGAAAAACTAGTATTGATATCTGTTAAAACAGTAGTAAAATTCATCTTGAACACATATATCGCTTTAATCAAAAGAGTCAATCAATTTAAGTCCATTTTTATTTATGGTGTGTGTGTTTGTCTGTTTAAAGTTCCAAAGACCTTAATAACCTCGTCAGAGTAAGTCCATCAACAGGAAGAAGCATGCAAGGGTAAGATTTAATAAGCTCTTCTTTTTCATTTCATCATAACCAAAGCTTAAAAGTACAATTAAATCATCCTTTCAGCTGACTGATGCTGAGCCCATGATTGTCAAGAAAACCCTGTAACACTGACTTCCTCAGATTTGAAAAGTTTAAGATCTTAGCCAATTGATTGCTGATACAACAAAGGTACATTTGATCAACCAGGCCCACAGTTGTTTTCCCAGGATGGAGATGACATTTTTATTTGTTGACTTGATTTCCCCAAGCAGAAGGGAAGGCACAGTAGCTGGGAGAGAGAACTAGGCTGGAGTCGTTAGATGGGGGTCAGTCTTGGCTCTGGCCCTTGAACTTGTGTGGTCTGGAACTAGTCACTTCTGTGTGTGCTTCAGTTTTCTCATCCTCAAAGTAAGGAAATGGGGCTGGCTGCTTTCTAGATACTTCCATCACTCATTCAGGTACTCAGTTCCAATATGGTGGTTGGTGTTGTGATAAAGTCCAAGCATTCTGGAATTAGATCACCTAGCCATGTGAGAAGATGTTTGTGTCTCAATTTTTCTTCTACTGAACTATGATGTTAATACCTCCTGTGTCATAGGATTGGCGTGAGGGTTAAATTTCATAAATCACAGCAATCATATGAAAAGTAAAAAATCCTAAGATATTAGTTATTATCCATTATTCCTATGCAGATTTGATAGATGATTAATAGATATCACTAAAAAACTTCAACCCCTTGAGATGGTCTCTGTTTTAATAACTATTTTATTATAACAAAAAGGATTTCTCAGTTTCTAAAAATATTTGTAACAATTTGATGAAAATCTACCACTGACCTGGTCATTTCTTCCATGTTCTAAAGGGGCCAAAGTCTTGACAACCTCATCAAAGTGGCTCCTGAAACAAACAGGATCAAACCAGGGTAAGGTTTATGAAAGTGTTCTATTTCACCCTATTTTGTTTGTTGGTTTTTGTATCTAACTTTAAAAATAGGATGGAATGCACTGCCTCACCATAGAGACAATCAATGATGGGACCCCAAATAAGCATTTCCTCTGTCACCATCCCAGGGGCTGGTGTTCAAAGCCTTGCTTGGGGGATCCCCTGGCTGTGGGTTTTTGCAGGAAAGATAATTCTTTGAAATACCAGAGTGATCCTTCCAGTGTGGGATTTGTATTCCATCTTGGGGTTTTCTAAAAAGAAATGGGGATTCCCCATGGAAAGAAACATCATCCCCAAACAATTTTATGGGCTGGAATGTAGCTCAGTGGCAGAGCACTTGCCTAGCATGTGTCAGGCACTGGGTTTGATCCTTAGCATCGCATAAAAATAAATAAATAAAATAAAGGTATGCTATCCATCTACAACTACAAAAAATAAAAAAATAAGGACAATTTCCTAAAGCTAAGCAACCTAAAGAAAAGTCGTCAGATGATAAAAGTTTCTCCTTCCTTCTTCGTCCACTGTTTATTCCTTCTTCTTATTGTTTACCACCCAAAACTATCCTGAAGTTGAGAGATCATTTTTTAAAATTATATTCAGTTCATCGAAATAATAAAGAATACAAAGAATGACATTTGGTTTTTATATAAAGAGAATTTTCTCTAAGGCACAGCATGTTAAGAAAATAGACAACAAAACCATGAAGTTATATACATATATTGTTATATAAGTTAGAATATGAGTTAGACATGAAAGATACCGAGATCATACCTTCTTTCTGACAGATTTTCTCTTTTACTTTGCATATAGAAATGTTTTATATTTTTATATTAAGTAGCCATCAAACAGAGCTTATTTTGACTAGATCAGATATCAGAAGCTTTGTGTAAAAAGGTTAGGCAGTAAATAGTTCAGTCTCTCCTTTAACTACATAGTCAGCTCCACCAGTACTGTGAGAGCAGTCATAGAAAATATCTTGCAAATACAAGGACATGGCCATGTTCCAATAAAATGGCTGAGAAAACCAGGCAGAATTTAGCTCGAGGGCCATAGTTTGCTGGCCCTTAAACTAGATATTGTTTTATTTAGAAGGGAGAGGAGGGTCAACTCTGAATGCATTTGAGGCCACGTGTAAAACACAGCTGGCTTTCCTACCCCACTATTGCATATATAGTTTCATTCATTTTATGATTAAACTGATGATCTCTGAATGCTTAGTGCTCAATCATTTTCAGGGTTTGTTCACCCAATAGGAAATCAACTTTATGGTCAGACACTGAATCTGAAGACCAAACAATACTCTACATTACAGATGAAGGGAGTAGCTATTGTCTTTTGTCCTTTTCCCAGGATGACTTAGTTTCTAAAGGTGAAGGTGGTCTTTCCTAGAAGCCACATGCTGACACTTATTGCATGGTTGTGTATTCATTTCTTCCACTTGACAGTGAGTTTTTTGAGTACAGTTGCTAGCTGTGTAGTCATGAACAAATTGCTTAATCTTTCAGCTTCAGTTTCTTTATCAGTAAAACCAAGAGTTAACTATCATGAGTTACTAGAAAGATTAAATGCGATCATGCTTGTAAAGTACTTTTTGTTCAAATACTTATTTATTAAATATTACCTATTAGTATTATTGGTGCTATTATTTTTCTTCATTTTTGAATCCCCATATCACCACTTGATACTTAACTCAAAGAAGATACTGAAGAAATTATTCTGTTAAGTTAAACATTACAAAAATACTGACGTTCAACAATTTTTAACCCACAAATGATAATATGATATAGTTTAGCATAATAGAATATAATAATTTATATCAGAGGATAGATACATAATAAAATGAGTTCATAGGTTAGTCCCAAAGATTATTTAAATGATAAAGTCTTTCTGGTCTCTTTTTTGCTTCATAATATTTAATGCATTGTCTAATAATAAAGTATATCAAATAAGACTTTTTGTTCAGGCTATTTGGTGTTAGGGTTGGTATGAGAGCCCAGTGTTATAACAGTATATCTTTAGAGCTATGATTGCCTCGATATTCAAATAGTTTAAAATAAAAACATAAATTATATAGTCTGAAATCTTGCTTGTTATGCTTTGGCTGCATGAAGTGTGATTCTAAAATGATTTAATATCTTAGAGTAGCACAGAATTATATCATATGTGTATATACACACATATAAATAAAGACATACATATTACTTACATAATTTAGAACCAGGAAATAATGTTTTAAAAGTCTCAGTTGTTATTACTTGTTTGTGTTTTGGAAGGGGGAGGAAGCAAGGACCACTGAGTAATGATATAGTTTCATATTTTTCTGTTTCTCATTATAACCTCCAAAACTATTCTAAATGCTAATTTGACTACACAAATATAATATGGAAAGTAAGAAGTTTAAAAGTAATTCTGCTTTGTGTTAGACTTGACAGAAACATGAGTAAAATTAAATTCTCACATAGTCAAGGTTGCTCATGAAGTAAATTGATAGAAGCTATGGTTTTTTTGTTGTTTTTTTTACTTTTTAAAAATATATTATTATTTTATTTTATTTTTTACACAAATGGAACACAACTTCTCATTTCTCTGGTTGTACATGATGTTGGGTCACGCCATTTGTGCAATCATACTCATACATAGAGCAATACTATTCGTTTCATTCCACCATCTTCTCTCCCAACATCCCCTCTCATTCCCTCCCTCCCCTCTGCCCAGTCCAGAGTTCCTCCACTTTTTTCTTGCCCCACTCCTCCCTTATCAGAGAAAACATTTGGCCTTTGTTTTGGGGGAATTGGCTTGCTTCATTTAGCATCATGTTCTCCAATTTCATCCATTTACCTGTAAATGCCACAATTTCATTCTTCTTTAAGGCTGAGTAATATTCCATTGTATCTATATAGCACAGTTTCTTTATCCTTCCATTCATCTATAGAAGGGCACCTAGGTTGGTTCCATAGTTTAGCTATTGTGAATTGTGATGCTATAAACATTGAGGTGGCTGCATCACTGTAGTATGCTGATTTTAAGTCCTTTGAGTAGACAGAGGAGTGAGATAGCTGGGTCAAATGGTGGTTCCATAAGCTACATTTTTACATGGTGCTAAAAAGGGAATTCAAGAGATGAAGGATTTTTAAATTAACAGTAGTCATTGATTCAATACTAAGTTTAAAAAGTATAGAAATGATTGATTTTAGTTGACCTGAACTTATTTTTAGGAACCAAGATCTGGACAATCTTATCAAAGTGACCCCCTCAGCAAACAAAAGGTAAGCTTGTTAACATTATTAAAGACTCCTGTCTTAATACAATTCTTCAATTTATGTTAAAAAAAAAGGGAGAGAGAAAGAAAGATTATTGACTAAGGGCATTTTGAAAGGGAACATGAAAACGAAGAACACATTGATTTCTTTTCTTTTCTTTTCTTTTCTTTTTGTACTGAGGATTGAACTTAGGGGTGCTTAACCACTGAGCCACATCCCCAGCCCTTTTTGTTTTTTTATTTAGAGACAGGGTCTCATTAAGTTTCTTACTTGCTGAGGCTGCCTTTGAACTCAAAATTCTTTAGCCTCTACCTCCAGAGCCACTGGAATTACAGGTGGCTCCACTATGCCTAGTACATTGATTTTTTGATGTGTAATAATAGTAGAGAAGTTTTTCTTTCATTATTAATCATCTTATTCATTATAATATTGTTTAAAATGATAATACTGAAGCCCATTTAGTATAATTACTACTTGAGCAATTCCTTTTGACACAATAACAACACAAATAGATTATAAGTATAAGTTTAAACTAATAAAAGTTGATAAAGCTGAATAAACCAAAGATTTTTGGCTTTATACTCTCTCATAGACCCAAGGAATTAATTTTTAAATGACTTGGTTGCTAAAAGTGGAAACATAACATTCTTACACTTGAAAAGAATATTTTTTTACATGACATTGTTCTTGAGAAATTAAGACCTGTTACAGTCACTTGCCTGTAATCCTAGCTGCGCTGGAGGCTGAGACAGGAGGATTGAAAGTTCAAAGCCAGCCTCAGCAATTTAGCAAAACTTTGTCTCAAAAAAAAAAAAAAAAAAAAAGCTGATGATTAAATGCCCCTGATTTCAATACCCAGTACAAAAAAAAAAAAAAAGAGAGAGAGAGAAAGAAATTAAGACCTATTACATATTGAAGCAAAAGTTAATAAATGTATAACAAAGAAACTTCAAACCATCTTTTATAAAATTATTTTGAAGATAATGGTGAAAACATTGTGCAAATGGAAGGAATTTCCAGGAATATAAGAAAGGAAGCCTGTTAGGGTGCAGGAGTGTGGAGTCTGAGGTCCATTTGTTACAATTTCAGTTTTGGTCACCCTCAACCACTGCTTAGGTATATAGCCCTAGGAAGTGTCTTTGTGAAACTTAATTTCTTCATAGGGTATGATAGTGTCTACCTCAGTGAGTTGCTCTGAGGATTAGAAAACAGCAACTGTGTATTGAAAGTAGAAACTCAATAAACTTATTACTTTTTAGATTTTAGATTCCATTGAATAATTTATAATTGTAAAAAAATAAAAATAAATTTAAAAAAAAAACCCACCAGTCATTATATTTGCTGATTTCTTATTGGTTCTGAACTTTATTTCATTTTGTTTTTTAGTCAACAAGGTCTTGATGAACTTATTAATGTAAACCCCAAAGCTGTCCAAAGCATCTCTGGGTAAGAGAAGAATATTATTTACTTGTTTGGTTTTCCTTCTTTATAACTAAGCACAGTGTGATTATAAATGGCATAACCATTCTATGGGCAAATTAGATATAGATCTTGAAATATCATCACAGTTTTTATATGTCCTTGGAAACCTAGATGTTAACGACAGAATTTGCTAATTGCAAGAAAGAGGCCGCTGATGACAATAAATGGTGGCCCCATCTCTTTCTTCAGCCTCAAGTAAAGCAGTTGAAGGGAATGATTGGAGAAGGGGGTGCTAGGAACACAGCCAGTCCAAGAGCTGTTTTGTTTTGTTTTTGTGTGGCATTGATATTAATACTTTTGTCTCTAGAATTTAAATTCTTAGTGATAGTTAATTTAAAAAAATAGACCTATAAACTTCATTAGACTCATTAGTAGTATCATTTACATCCTTTTAGAAGTGTTTTCTGGGTAATACCAGAACTTTGAGGTTCATTGATTTTTAGAGGGTTTGGTGGACCCAAAATTTGGTAATTCTGTAAGTAGTTTCTCTAAGATAATGAAATTCTCTTTTTGTTCCTGGTTATATGAACATTTTCTCATCATTACACCTTACTCTTAGAAATCTTAGAAATGTTTTCATGATTTCCTTTTTAAGTTTTGTTGTTACCTTTAAAAAAAAAGAAGAAGAAAGAAACCTCAGAGAATCCTAGCCTAGTTAATTTGAACAATTTTGAAAACCACTGTTCCAGCTGAAATTGCTCATTTTGTCAAAGAGGAAATTAGGACATGGAAAGGTTAAGTGATTTGACCAGGGTCACAGAGAAAATCAGTGTAAGACTGATAGTAGTTCTGTGATCTCTTAAGCAGTGAATAATTACCGAACACCTACTGGGTTCACAATTTAAGACTAGGTATCATTAGTTGCACATTAGGTATAATTATAGGCTGTGGACACCAAAAAGAGAATTCAGTAGTCATACTCAATCTTATTAACAGCAGGCAATTAACATAGATTAAAGCTAATTATGTATCAGCGGTACAGAGATGTTACTCCAAGACAATAATAGGTTGTCAGTTTAATATATTACATTTCAGAGCACTCATGTACTGCTTGCTGAATATAGAATATATTGTCAGTGAATTGCATTTAAAAAGAAAAAAATAAGCATTAAAAGAGGATATAATAAACACTATAGGGAGTAAAATTCATATTCATGGAGTCCTGGAATAGAAGCCAGTGATGAGCAGAGCCTTAGACATTATCCAATCCAAGCTCCTCATATAGAAATGAGAATACTGAGACCAGAGAGCAAAAACCCCATAGTCTCCTAGGAGTTCTTCTAACTCTCAGCCCAACTCTGGTCTTTACAACCACAGCACAGAGTTTGATCCTGAAGTAAATGAAAGTTAATTAAACACCTCAGGAAATAGTGGAGACTAACAGATAGGATTGCTGCTCCTATTGTGGGACAACCAGGATGTGCCCTCTACTGTTTTCACAGTGTCACGTGAAGAATTACTTTATGAATGACAATGGCACAGTATGCAAATGACTGCAAAATGTCTTACAGCATTTAAAACTTCAGAAGTCACAATACCAGTTCTAATGCATTAGAATGCATTATTTGCCACACCCTGAAAGCAAAATTAGTGAAAGCAGTAACTTGAGTAGGAAAGATGTTACATATTCCCTGGATAAAATTTAGATATTAGATTCCTTTTTTATCAGGACTCAGGTCAAGAAAAAAAGTCAATATTTTGTTGTTTTCAATTCATTGAGATAAATTGCCTATGCTGTCAACCAAGACAGTTCAGCACTATTACTAGGATCTTGATCTTATTAACACATGGCATTGCCTTTTATTGAAGTAGTAGTAGGACTTAACATATGTTTTCTAAGCCAGAGTTTCTCAAATCATGGGTCACCATCCATTCAAGGATGTTGTAGTTATTTTAGTGAGTAATAATCAGCCTCACCTCTTCAATTGAATAAGCTTAATCAAATAGAAAATGTGAGAATTCTAATTGAGTAGGGTATTATTTTGTATACTTCATGTTTTCAATTTGTGATTTTGTTCATGTCTGTCTGGAAAAGAGAGAGTATTGGGCTGTAATATAAAATGCATTTTTTATTGGTCTTTACAAAATATTAATCTATAAAATATTAATTGGTAATATTAATGTAAATATTATTCATATAAATATAAATACGATTTACATGCACATAAATATTAATATAAAATATTAATTAAATATTTCTTATCTAGATTGATAGATGATCAAATTTTCTGTGCTCAGCAGAACAAATATAAATGGAAGCCCCCGTGTCTGTTTTTGCATTTTCTATGCTCCCTATTCTTAATTATGCTAACGAGTATTATATGTAGTTATACTAAAATATATTGGGATTAATTTTATATGTATAAAAAGGCTTTTGAACATATTATCCCCTCTACAAAGTTTTATCCCTTGTTAGTTTTTTCTTTTACATTTTGAAGTTAACCGAATTTTAAGCTTTGTTTTTATGGCATAGTTTTTTTTATGGCACAGTTTTGTTTTATGACACTTTTTTTTTTTTTTTTACCTTTACTAGCTCACTTAATCCTCACAGTACTTTTTATAACATATTTTTCTATCAATTTATATGAAGAAATTATGTTTGGGCTAGTTCTCATTTGACAATCATTCTTTTAATGGTGTTTGCAGATACCAATAGATAATCTTTAATTTTGTATATTATATAGAGGCTAATTCAAAAGTGTGAAAGTCCAGATAGGGACTTTCCATCCAGTGTGGAGATGTGAGAACCAGAAGAGGTCCCCAGAATGGAGTCATGAGCTGAGAAGCACATTCCATGGAAAGATTGAGGCTGGGGGAGGGGAACGTAGACCCTAGGCCTTTTTAAGGATTCATCTCTAAATGATTTTTTTTTTTTTAGGATTCATCTCTAAATGATGCACTTTCAGTTTGTAACCTTGCATCAATTTTTTTATAACTTTATTTATTAATTTGTTTGTTTATTTATTTATTTATATTTGGTGCTGAGGATTGAACCCAGTGCTTTGCACGTGCTAGGTGAGCACTGTTCCACTGAGCCACAACCCCAGCGCCGCCCCCCACCCCATCAATCTTTTTGTTGAGTAAAATGCATTTTGTTTTTAGATAAGAAAAAAGGATTGCAGGGATGGGTACAGACTGGTTGCTGTCTCAGTTGGAAGGGGAAATAGGGGTTATCAGCCCTGTGCAATCTCTTGCCAGGCATTTGCCTTGCGTTTCTTTGAATATATGTTAAAATATATATTATATATATTATAAAATATAATATATATATATTACTTTGTAGCCCTTAAAACAAGAGTTATATCAATGCAGTGGCTGAGAACAGACCATAGGGGAGGAAATACTATTCTCTTGCTGAAAAAAGAAATTGGTAGGCTGGGGAGTGGACAACTTTCAGAGGATACACCTAATTTAACTATGAATAATTAAGTTCAATTGAGGTTTTTAGTCATCATAGAGAAAAGAAAAGGGCTGGAAGCATACTACTGTGGTAGAATACTTGCCTAGCATGCTAAAGATCCTCACTTCCATCCTCAGCACTAAATAATAATGATAATAGTAATAATAATAAAATAAAATAGAAGGAAAAAAGTTACGTTAAGAATAAGGAATAAAACCTGTTTTAGACCTTAGTGTTTCAAAGAATTGATACACTTAGTTACAATATAATTTAAGAAATGGCAAAGGCATTAGAATCAGTTCTTATCTTAATATTGTTGAACTCTTCTGGAGTGACAAATTGTCAATCACTGGGTGTTGGCTGTGGAGTACCTCGCCTGCACATTCTTATAGATAGATGTGCTTCTGCAGCAAAGTGTGTGAAGTCAGAGTAAGTTTCCTTCTCTCACAGCATAATTCTTCCTCCTCTGGATGGGTTAGAAAACACATTGCATGGCGGTTCTACCCCAAAAGACCATGTCTCACTCTGTCATCCTCTCCTCCATTCACAATGACCTGAAATCCTATTATCTCTAACCCAAGCTGCTTCATCTTTTTTTTCCCCTTAAAGAAATCAAGATCTTGATAAGCTCATCAAAGTGAATCCTGAAATTCTCACAAACAACCAAAGGTAATAGAATACATTTTTATTTTAAATGTACTTTGGTCAAGAGTATTTTGTTTTATTATAATTTCAAGCTGATTTATAACCTTAACAATTTTACCAAAAAAAAAAAAAACTCTATATCACTTTGATTTGTAACATTTTGTCATGTTTGATTTTAAATAATTTAATCTGAGTTGTTATGTATGATAGCATCTGCTTATGTCCTTCTTGGTCAGTCATTTAATAGCTTAAAATGGTAAAGTAATAATAATAATACACACAAAGTCATAGTAAAAACTAACAATTACTGAATTTCACCTAATATTTAAGTTTCTAATTGCATGTATCATAACTATATTTTAAAGTTCACTTAAATACAAATAAATTTCACACATTGTTATTTTCTAATGTTTCTTTGATTTATTTAAAAATATATTTTAATATGATGAGGCACATTATTTACATTATTCTATGAATTAAAATGCACTAATAGGGGCTGAGGTTGTAGCTCAGTGGTAGAGCTCTTGTCTAGTATGTGTGAGGCACTAGGTTTGATCCTCAGCACCATATAAAAATAAATAAACAACGTAAAGGTATTGTATCCATCTACAAACTAAAAACAATTTTTTAAATGCACTAATAAAATATATTTTAATTGTTGGAAAAAATAACTTTATCACTAAATGCTCTCTTTCCTTTTTTTTCATTTAAAGAAACCAAGATCTGGATAACTTCATCAAAGTGAATCCTGTAGTAATCAGAAACAATCAGAGGTACTCAAATAAAAGCAGTTAATCCCATTTTGATCTCTCTGTTGTCCCTGGATGACATGGATTTGTATCATGGCTTTATTGATTTCAACCTGCAAAACATTTCACTAACCTGAATTTTTCTTTGTCTCTTTTAAATAGCCAAGACCTGGATCATCTTATTAATGTGAAACCTTCAGCTCTGGAGAACTCTAATCGGTAAATGGCCTTGCCTGATTATTTTGACATATTCCCAAGGTTCTATCTAGGGTAGGGATTTTCTTCCTTTTTTGAAGAAGGCTTTTAGTTTTCTTTAGTGTTACAAATAAGGATGCATTTGTAGCCCAAGTGTATCCTGTCTACAAGGAAACACTGCACTCTTCTGGAATCAATTGAACTACTTTAGAATCAGTTCCAGGCTTCTTCTTTACACTAACAACTTAATATTTGTTGTCTACAGGAAGCAGAGTTTCAAGACTGAAATGAAAAGTGAATAAAATTAAATAAAAGAAAAATATTTTTGAAGAAGTTGAACCAATTTGGAAAAGAAATTTAGGGTCTTTAGAAGCTTAGATCTACAATTTGTCTAGGCTTGCCAAACATCATAGCAGATTTTAATCTTGAACTTCCACCTTGAGTTTGCTATTTTTATATCATGTCTTCCACTCAAGGTGCTTTATTAGTATATAATAAAGTGTAGATGATTCACCTGTGTATACTGTATTGGAAGTTCAAATCATTCTGCTGACTTGATATTTTATCATAATAAATAATAGCTGGGAATCATAGCCCAACATTCTGAGATGAAGACCATAAATTATTTATGAAAAAGTACTTTGAATCCAGTCGGAGAAAAGGGCAATGTAACACAGTAATTGGCCTCTTAAGCTTTTCTACGTCAGTGCTTCATTTTTCTCTTTCTGTTTCTGTGTTTTTATCACTGGGGTCTTGGATCTTGGAAGACAGAAGGCAGCTGGAGAGCAATTGCTACTTGGAGTGCTCGCTGAGCCCCTGTGACTTGCGATTTATATACATTTAGTCCTTACAACAACACCCCATGAGAAATATTCTAGTATTTTGTGGAAGAGGATACTAGAACTCAAAGATACTTAGTAGCCCTCTCAAGAAAGAAAACACCTCCATCTAACTGTGTCTGATGTCACTACCTAGAGGGAGAACAGAAGATCTGTGTTTCAATGCCCACCGACACTCTTCTTTCAACCTTTCATATTCTTTATTCCCCTGTTTTCCCTACATATAGTTAAAGGGCTTTTTAAATTTTTTAAATTTTTTAAATTTTTATGGATCTGGGGGGTTGAACCCAGGGCCTGAGCATGCTGGGTGAGCACTCTCTCACTCAGTTACATCCCTAGTCCTTGAATGGAAATGTTTTAATGGTTGAAATAACAAGAAACTTGTGATTTAGATCTTGCCACTGATAATTATATGGAAATAACTTATTTAAGTAGAACCATTTCTTCATAGTGGTATTTGTTAGGGTAGACTTTTCTTTATATTAGAAATAGTCCTAGAAGGTTTCCAATCATGTTGGAATTTCCCTCTCTCTATTTCTCTCTGCCCCCCTCCTGCCCCCCACTCCCCCCCCCACCCCGTTCTCTTTTCTCTGCTGCTCTCCTCTCCCCTGCCTCTGCCTCTCTGGCAAGTGTGCTACGTTGACAATAGCAACATAGCATTTGCTTTTCATTTACTTGCAAGAGACTAATTTTACAAAAAGTTGTATTTCAACAACTCCTAAACAAACATACATGGAAACAGGACATTTTCCTCCCACAAGTATGATTACTACAAAAAGGAAATTTAAAAATTCATTATCATGATCTTTTAAGATGGCATCTTGGTCCACAAGAAGGACTTGTGCCTGATTATTCTTTGGTCGCACACCAGATTTGATGATTATCAGCCAGGAATTCCAAGAATTGTTACAGAGCAGATAAATGGGAAATACTGAACTCTTTGAAAAGAATGACTTCATTCAGTGGATACAGCCACCTGTATCTATCTATATTGCAGCCATGCTGCCCTCTTGATTTTAATGCAGGTAAAGAAAAAAAGGTATTTTAAAGCACCTCCTGGTAGGAAGAACAGCCACAAGGCACTTTTACATCAATTCAGTGAGACACAAGCACTGATTATTTAATAGTATAACAGCAGTGAATCAGAATCCTTTTATGTGACTTTGCTGACATCTCCTGCAGCTGTATATTTAATTCACAGTTAGGGGCTGAATAAACTTCAATCATCTATCAGAATGTAAGCAGGCATCCCTGAACTGCTTCTTGGAACACAACAACCAGAACAAATGCAGATGTGCACAGAATTTTTATTTATTCAGTGAGAAATTGCCTGACTTTTAGCAGCAACATGAACCAACATTTGAGAGATTTTCAGTTATCTGTAGCCTATAAACTGTTAGACTAATTATTAAAACTGAATTTTTGCTCCCGAATGAATATAGAAAAGCACACCTATTCATCTAAGGCTTCCCAGTGAGAAAAGGCATCATTCACGTAAAGCAGAAAATAAAAAATAAGTTCTATTTGTGATTTTATACTTTCATCTTTTTAAGGGCTATTTGTTAACATGTACCTCCAAGTTTTTAGTTTTCCAGCAACAGAAAAGTTCCTTCCTGTCTTCCTACTGGTTATTTCTCCTATTTCTGTTCAAGACATAAACTTGGGGAAATCCTCGACTCTTGCTTCACTTCCCATGATCAATCAATCAATCACTTTGGTGCTTCTCCTCATCCTTTTAGGAAATGACCCCAGTACTGCTGTCATCCAGACTGCTGTCCAGTCTCCTAAGGGTTCCTCTGCTGCCAGTCTTACTGATGTCCTTCAATCACTGTAGCTGATCTTCTTAAAATCCAAATCTGATCCTGTTTTTCTAATTAAAATCCTTCAGCGGCTTCCCGTTGCCAATAGGTCATGACCCTGCCGCTTAACCTGGTTTTCAAAGCCCATCATGATCTGGCCTCTGCAGGCTTTCCCACCCCAACTCCTGTTCCTTCCCACTTACAAGTAAACTCTATCCACCGGCCTCTCACTGGACTGCTCTTCACTCCTCCTTCCGTGTTATTGCCTGGATAACTTCTACTTACCCTTCAGGTACAGTGTAGGTGTCTCTCACTCAGGTCCTGGAAAGCCCTACCCACCATGTGTGCACCATCCTCTAGATGTTCTCATGCTCTGTCCTTCCTGTCCCCTAACATTTGTCCCTTAGAGAGAATTATTATTTAATCCTCTATCTCTCTCTGCCTTTAAGCTCATTAGTGTCAAGGACTGGATCCGTCTTGCTTATTCTTTATACTGCTTAGCACAGTGACACAGTATCTGGCACATATGAGGTTAAATATTCTGTGCATTAATGACTAAACCTCAAATTAATCAGTGCTTTATGATAGTCCAACTAGATAAAACCTTTTGAGACAGGACCTCACTAAATTGCTGAGGTTGGCCTTGAATTTGAAATTCTCCCACCTTGTGCCCCAGGCCCCCCAGGTATCTGGGATTATAGGTGTGCACTGAAACACCCAGTTGTTCACAATAATCTTAGTGAATGTTGGTGAACAAGAGCCATTGAAGTTAGAAATTATATTTTATATTTAAAATACCTAAATTGTCCAACTTCTCTAAAGATCTCTTAATTTCTTTAATAAGACATCTTTGTTGAAAAAAATGTAAAAACATGTAAAACTGGGCTCATTTTATTATGTCAATAAATTGAGAATTATACTAGTTACTTCTTTGTACTCTATATTCCTTTCAGGGAGACAAAAATTCCTTTTAAACTATAGTCCAATGCCTAAGATTTAGTTCCTGGCATACAAGAAATACCATAGTAAAAGTTTTATATGGAGACTCTTAATTTTTTAAGTGTGTATGATACTCTGCAAAAGCAAATTAAGTTAGCTCTATAGAGAGAAGCATATTGCCACCTATTAATAAATACCTCCTATACTCACACAAGAGGAGAAGAACAGTTAGAAGTGAAGTAATAATTTTATCACATCAAAACTTATCCTAGGAAATGTCTATAGCAAGAGACGTAATTTCTTGGTCCCCAGAATCTCCATTTCCCCTGCTCAGTAACTATACTACTTAATGTGGCAGAGGAAAATAAATCACCTGTGGCTTTGCCCCATAGATAACTCCTATTTTCTCCCCAATGCTTGAAATCCACATTTAAAAAATTATTACTGGTTGCAATGATTAATAATTTGCTCTTTAGCAATCTATGAATCTATAAAGAATCAATGATTTCCTTGAAATTAATTTAACTGCTTGTAAGCTATAAGGTCTTCCTTTTGCTACAATTACAATGGGAAGCGTTTGGAATCCCTTTGCTGCTCAAGCCTGCAGCATTTGGCTTGAACTTCTATAAAATCTATTTTTCACGCTTTGACTCACAGTTCTTCATCTTTCACTGTAGTGTAAAAGACGTCATGCAATAGATGTGGTGTTAATTAAAAAAACAAAAATTATTTTCACATCCTTTGACTTGGGAAGTGTATGGGTAGTCTGAACTGTATTAGATCTTCTGATTTAGCTCATGATACCAAGAGAGTGAATAAGCAAGGCAAATATACATTTTGTGCTTTGTGTGTATGTATGGAGAGGACTGGGGATTTACAACTGAGCTACACCTCCAGCCCTTTTTATTTGGAGACAGGGTCTTGCTAAGCCTTAAACATGTGATCCTCCCTCCCCTGCCTCCCAAGTTGCTGGGACTCAGGTGTGTGTTACCAGGCTGGCTCATTTGGTGCTTTCCATAAATGTTTGCTTTAAATATTAGTGTAGCTCATTCAGCTTAAAATTTTATAGCCCACTCAACCAAACTTGATATGTGGTATTTAATGAAAAAAGAAAAATTCTATGAAGCCATTAACAATGTGGTTTGTTGATTCACACCACTTTGGGAGCATGCTTCTTCGAAGGCTTACGTGGGCTTCAGTTTTTGTCTAGTTTAGTTGTTGGATTTGTAAGATTCTGGCTTCCTCTTCTTCCTGAAGTTCAAATTCATTTTTTCTCCCTCTTAAAAGAAGCTATGGCCCGTAAGAGTTGAGTGAGAGGTGTACACAGAGCAAAGGTGCAGTATCTGCAGCAATCTTGAGTGGGAAGTGCCAGAGGAATGGAGAATGTCCACCATCAAGCAGAGAAATTAGAAGTAATCACCTCGTGAGGGAGAAGAAGTCTGAATTCATTTGTTAGGATTGCATTTACAAAGGACCACAGACTGGATGGCTGAAAGATAGAAATTTACTTTGTTTGGCTTTGGGGGCTAGAAGTCTGAGATGAAGCTGTCAGAGGGTTAATTCTGTTTAGGCCAAGAGGGAAGAATCTGTTCCAGGCCTCTCTCTTTGGCTTGTAGATGGCCATCTTTACCTTTCGTCTTCACATATTTATGAAGCAGCTACTCTGTGTAAGATCATGTTAGACCTACCCTCAAGTTGTAATAAAAGTGATCAGCTGCCTTAAATGTAGTGCAAAGTTTTTCCACTGTTGGCAGTAGAGGGAGAATGACTTTCCAGGACAAAATTCTGATTTTCCAAGATTCATGTGTCCTGGTGATCTTTCCCGTGTACTGCTGCCATTCATCCAGTTTGTTGTTATAGGAAACTGGATTATGGATACTCCATTTAATTTTATTCCTTCATTCCTAAGTATTTAGTGAAGTATTATTCGAAACATTAAGGGAAGGATCACTTAATGTCTAAGGCCATTAAGGTGGTACAGCAGCCCCTGATACCAAGAAGGAAGCTCCAGAAATTGATGAAGACTATGGTGGGGGTAGGAAAACCCAAAGCCTTCTGTCTCCATTTCTAAATTTTCAGGAGGTGAGCTGGGAGATTACTTTACACAGGTTTAGCTGTCAAGTTGAGAAATTCAATTTAGAATTTTTTTCATTTTTAAAATTTGTTCTTTTTAGATGACCATAGAATATATTTTGATATATTATGCATACATGAAGTATAACTTCCCATTCTTGTGTTTGTACATGATGTGGAGTTACACGGGTCGTGTATTCACATATGAACATAGGAAAGTTATATCTGATTCATTCTATTATCTTTCAACAGAAATTCAGTTTAGAATTTGATATCATTCAGATCAAAAAACCTAGTGATTTTGATACTTCTGGGCTGCCTCTGAACTATCATACTTTTTACGTACACAAATTGGAATATTTCTACTGTAATTCACATTAAAAAGTAATTTACCCCAAATTTTTGCATTTTCAAAAGCATGCAGCTAGTATTTTAAAAGTAAGGTTTAAGTGTGGCTATTTAATAGTGCCTAATTTCTATCGTCTATCAATTACTGATGTGGGCTGAGGATGTGGCTCAAGCGGTAGCGCGCTCGTCTGGCATGCGTGCGGCCCGGGTTCGATACTCAGCACCACATACAAACAAAGATGTTGTGTCCGCCGAAAAGCTAAAAAATAAATATTAAAAAATTCTCTCTCTCTCTCTCTCTCTCTCTCTCTCTCTCTCCACTCTCTCTTAAAAAAAAAATTACTGATGACTTGGATGTTATATAAAAAGTATTAAATCTCACTCCACATAAAGATGAGAATGTTTATAGTTTCTTTGTCCTTATCAATATTAATTTTGTGAGTACAAGTCTATGTATTTATTTCACATATTGCAACTTTAGTTAAACTCAGGGCATGGCAAGGTCAATTTTAAGAACTGGAATTAATTCCAAATATGTGAAAATTTAGGATACAAATAACAATAAAATGTAGTCCCTCAAAACTGTGAATCAGTAGTGCTCCTGCATCTCTACACTTCCATTAGTTCTAATTTATGTAAGCCTATTCAATTCACCCACAAGTGTGCTCACTGTGCCCTAAGTTTTATTTTTCATCATGACTTGAAAGATTGGATATTAGTAACTTCCTTTACAAAATGAAGCTTAAAAAGTTGACTAATTTGCCCAGGGAAGAAAGGGAAGAGATGACCCTTCTTGATCTGACTCCTTAACAATGCTCCTCCTCAGTAGAGTTCATGACAGACAAAGCCTTTTCCAAACTCATGAAAACACACATATCCCAGGAATTTTCAATGTTATACCCAATATATAAATAGCTGGCATGCAACTAACATATCAGAGGACATCGTATCTTATGAAAACTTGTGAAATCATTAATGGAGCCCAAGGTTTAAGAATCCAATCACTCCATTTATCCTTCTTATCATAAATTATTGACTAACATTTTGGGTTAATGTCTTATGTTTTGATTATTCCAGAAGTCTGAATGAAGACTCCAAGAAAAATTCAAGAGTCGATTTTAGGTGGGCAGGTGATATGGCCTTAAATCTTGACTTTTCCATAAATTAGTTTATTGGTCTTGGAAAATTCAGTCTTTCTGAGTCCTAGATGCTGTCCTGTATGGTTTTGTGAGATCTGAAAGAGATCATGTAAAAATATACAGTTAGAACTTTGTGATTCAAACTTAGTCCTCATTAAATGTTAACTGACTGTGAATATAAATCAATGGTGTCTTTTCAGGCAAGACTTCCCAAACCTTCCAAAAAACATATAATTTTTTTTTTTTTTTTTACTTTTCTCTCACAATGTAATTCACACTTTCTTTTCTTTTTCCTTTCTTGCTTGCTTTCTCTTTCTTTCAGTCCTGGGGTTGAACCCAGATGCTCTGTCTGCAAACAAGCACTCTACCATGGGGTTCCATCCAACCTGTGCTTTCATATTTGATCCACTAGTAGTTGGGCCAAATAGCTCAACATCCAATTTCTGATCTTCCATACACTTTATAGACCACAAATCACTATGTCTAACATTATGTACTAAGGTTTAATTTTTTAACTCTAATATGTGCTTATTTTCCAAAATTGTGTTGTAACCAGAGACCAGGACCAAGAAAATTTAACTGAAGAAAATTCTCATGTGTCTGAAAAAAAGAATGGAAGGTAAGGTTCATTATAATTTACTCTCTTTATTATGAGTTTGCCCCTGTGTGCAGTGTGTAATCTTAGAAGATTTTCTGGGGACTTGACTGTATTATTGTTTTTAAAAATAAAGACTATCTAAATACAAAAAAAATTATGGTACCAGTTGCTTAATAGCTGATACAAAAAAATTAACAAAATTCTAATTCTGTTAGACTTTCTCACTTAAGGCCTGCTGTTCCATTGCTTAGTGTAAAAGGCGTCATGGAAATTCAAAGCTCTTTATGTGGTCTGTGAAGATTTATTTTTACTTACTGTTGCTTGGTAGGTCTTCAGAGATGCAGAGCACACTCTGAAAATCTTTTCCTTGGATACCTTGTGCTAAAAAATGCACAAATTGCTCACAGCCACAAAACAGAACCTAATTTTGAAATTTCTTTACACCACAAAGTATAAGAGCTTTAAAACTGTAATGCCTTATTTGCTAGTATTAAGAAAAAATAGGATAAAAGCAGTATTTCATTGTTATTATCAGTGTTTAAATTGGGAAGGAATTAATAAATTTTCATGTTTAGCAATTTTCCCCCTAAATGTAAAAGAAGCCTAAAAATACAATATATTACTTTTTTAAAAAAATATTTACCTTTCTATGGCATTTTTCACTTTCCTGGTGTGGTGGTGGTGGTGGTGTGTGTGTGTGTGTAAGGAATAATATTTTCTGCAGACAGTAGAAAAGCTTGGGAAAAAGCTGACTCACTTTTTTTCCCCATAATGTCTACAAAAGGCTCTTGAATCTAACAGACAGTTTCTTTCTTTTCCCTTAATTGTCCAAATCATCTTCTGCCATCTTTTATCATGATCCTAAGAAAGCCTTTGATAGAATGAGGCAGGATAATTTTTTCAGTAGGATCTGCTTATTCTGGAAACCCATTCACTATTTTGGGAACAGGAGTGGCTTACAATTAACCAAGCTCATTCAAATATTATTTGAAAGTGATTGAGGTTTGAAATAAAAAAGTAAATAATTCTTAATAGCTGCCATTCTGACTGGAATGAGATGAAATCTTAGTAGTTTTGATTTGCATTTCTCTAATTGCTAGAGATGTTGAACATTTTTTCATATATTTGTTGATTGATTCTATATCTTCTTTGGAGAAATGTCTGTTCAGGTCCTTGGACTATTTATTAGTTGGGTTATTTATTTTTTTGGTGTTAAGATTTTTGAGTTTTTTATTCTAGAAATTAGTGCTCTATCTGATGTGCACGTGGTAAGAATTTGTTTCCAATTAGTAGGCTCTCTATTCACCTCACTGATTGTTTCTTTTGCTGAGAAGAAGCTTTTTAGTTTGAATCCATCCCATTTATTGATTCTTGATATTAATTCTTTTCCTATAGGAGTCTTATTAAAGAAGCTGGGGCCTAATCTGACATGATAGAGATTTGGACCTACTTTTTCTTCTAATAGATGCAGTGTCTCTGGTCTAATTCCTAGGTCCTTGATCCAGTTTGAGTTGAGTTTTGTGTATGGTGAGAGATAGAGGATGTGAGGGGAAAGGCACAGTGGGACTGCAAATTGGTGCAGCCAAACTGGAAAGCAGTATGGAGGATCCTTGGAAAACTGGGAATGGAACCACCATTTGACCCAGCTATCCTACTCCTCAGTCTATACCCAAAGGACTTAAAAACAGCATACTACAGGGACACAGCCACATCAATGTTTATAGCAGCACATACCTAAACTATGGAACCAACCTAGATGCCCTTCAGTAGATGAGTGGATAAAGAAAATGTGGTGTATATACACAATGGAATATCATTCAGCATTAAAAGAGAATAAAAACTTGGCATTTGCAGGTAAATGGATGGAGCTGGAGAATATAATGCAATACCAAAAAACCAAATGCCAAATGATTTATCTGATTTAAGGATGCTGATTCATAATATGCTGTGGGAGTAGGATAGAAGGATTAAATGAACTCTAGATAGGGCAAAGGGGAAAAGGGGAGGGAGGTAAAGTAAGGGAGGATAGGGGTAGGAAAGACAGTGGAATGCGATGGTCATCATGACCCTAAGTACATCTATGAAGATATGAAGGATGTGACTCTACCTTGTGTACAACCAAAGATATGAGAAAAATGTGCTCTATATTTGTAATAGGAATTGTAATGCATAAAAATACCATTTATCAAAATTGTTAACTCTAGAAAACCTGCTTTCATGTGCCTTTAGAACAAAACAAAAAGCCAGCATCTTCTCCATGACTTCCACTTAGAAAAACACTGATGTTATGTAACAAGTATCTTAACAATAAAAAATTCTACTCAGAAAAAAGTAAATAATTAAGTATAATTAAGGAACTTCCTATTTAATATGATTTGAAAGGTGTACCAATTTCATTTGGGCTTGTTTATGAAATGAGGTTTCATTAGAAGAATTAATGAAGAGCTAACACAGTCACATGGAGGGTTAGGGCTTCAATATATGAATTGGAGGGACTACAATAGTCCATAATAGTACTGTTTTCAAAGCCTTTCCCTCTTCTGTTTGTGGATTTTGCAAACTGTTTATTTTTTATTTTATGTTGCTGAGGACAACACATATTTCAATCTCACTGATAATCTTTGTTCTTTGAAGCTATCAATTTTTTGTAACTGGGTTTTTTATTGTGTGTCATATGATTTGAATATTTTTAAACAGTTCCAAGTTAGGTTTACTATTCCTGGAGTGACATATTGTAATAATCATGTTAAAAATCTAATACAATTAATTCTACATTTTCACTACTTAGTATCATTTAAACTTAGTCTTATATGTTCATGAAACAGCTGCCTTAAAACCAGAGGTGATTTTCTGTATGTCAGAGATGATATGTGAACAAATGTTCTCCTCTTCTTTAAGAGCTTTCTGGAAATGGAAAGAACAGCCTGTTTGAGAATGATAAGGCTTGATTAAGATCTGAACTCTCCTGTAGGTTTTCATGTCTCTCCTGTGTCAGAGTTTGCTAACATGGAGGTAGAGAAAGAGCTAAAATGTTCACTATTCTTGCATTAAGAATTTCTTCTGTTCCATAGGAAAAAGCAAATGTGTCTCCACTCTATGGTGACATTTTTAGATTAGCAGATATCTAGGTCAGAGTTCTTCTGCAATCTTCAAAGTGTTGCCTTTCATTAAAAGCAAAATGGAAACTGGAATGTCTCAGAGCAACCCCTGGATCATTTTCATTAAGTTGATAAATTCTCAGATATGTTGTACCATGGGAAGCTTTATAAAATGACACTGCTGGTGTGAAAATGTTGCAGGAATCTATTTCTGATGGTTTCAAGCCTTGATAAAAAGGTATTCTGTCCTAGCAGCAGACAATGTGGCATGTGCTTGTGGATATTCTTAAGTGTTAAAGTCTGGTTTCTGTGAAGGGAGAGAAATAATGAGTGTACTCTATGTATATCTGTGCAGACATCAGATAGTCATAGGTAAAGTAATGTTAATTGTAGGTAAAGTAATATTAATTGAACAGAAGTTTAATAAAGCAAAAAACTTTTAAGTGACTGATTTTAAGTGCCAAGTACACTATGTTTACTCTCTCAGGCTAGGTGGCCAAGTCAATGGATTCACCAAAACTTTGCACAATGAGTCTACGAGAAGCACTTCCTATTCCTATGAAACCAAGGACAGCTTCAGGTATTTAATTGATTGTACAATAAGCAACAGGACTGTTCTTGTTTGTTTGTTTATTCTGGTACTGGAATTGAACCCAGGGGTGATTTGTCATTGAGCTACATCCCCAGCCCTTTTCACTGTTTATTTTGAGATGGGGTCTTGCTAAGTTACTGAGGTTGGCCTCTGACCCTTCCTTTGAAATGAAGACATTTCTAATTTTATCTGGGGTTATATGTATATAACATTACATGGAAGTGTTATTAGCAACTTGGTTTTTTATTGGAACATCTGGATAGGAACTGTAAAATACATTTTTTCCTTAAGAAGTCTATAATTACAAAAAGCATGAAATTGTGATATTAGTGGGTTTTGTTGTTTTGTTTTGTTTTGCAGTACTGGGGATTGAACTCAAGGCTTTGGGGTGCTAAGCAAGCTCTCTGCCACTGAGTTACCTGTCCAGCCTTAATGTTGGCATTCTTTAGATAGATCTAGATGCTTCATTAAATTAGATGCTGTTATGATAGTTAAATTATGATTCATTTTTATTTGAGGTTTATGGGGAGAATTGTGGGTAGGAAATATGAATGGGACATCAGGGAAAGAGACACTAAACACATTACACAGATATTGAAAATAATCTTCACGCTCTGAGCAGATTTACTGAATGACTGATTTTCATGCTAATACTCTGAAAGTAGGTCATCACAGTGGAAGTTAAGAACAAAATAGGAGAAATAATAAAATTTTGCAGAATTTAATTAATAGCACTTTAACATGATTTCCACAATTATAGTCTAGAAGAAAGACACACAACATTACTTTTTGCATTGAATTGGATAATAGCCTTGTTGTTTTTATTATTCTTATACATACACTTTCAACATGAAGTAAAATGGTTTGTATTGCAGTTCCAATGCTGAGACCAGGCACACAAGACCAAAGGACACTGTTGTGTACACAAGGACCTACGTGGAAAACAGGTATTAGAAATATAATTAAAATATATTTTTTTGTTTTATAATTTTGAAATGGTCTATGTTTAACAAAATAAGACCACCTAGAAATGTATTAAGGTCTAGGCATATAGTACTGCATTTTCCTTTTTTTAAATTTATTTATTTATTTTTTTAGTACTGCATTTTCCGATATTAAGTACTTGATAAATAATGATAGTCACTGGATGAGCTAAGTGATGGTTTAATATAATACATGTGTACATAATAGGATTATCATTTGAAAGCTCTCACATAGACATATGTGACCATATGGTTTAACAAGCTTTGTAAACTACACAAATATCCCAATACTAATTTGAAGTCCCACTTTAATTAAATGGTTTTGTCTATTGTTTATCTCTAATCTGAAATAAGGGGTATAACTTTGAGCAGATATATTTTGACCCAAATTACAAAGAATGGATGTCCCATGAAATCTGCTTATTGGCATGATGGATTTTGAGGAAAATGTCAAATAAGGTCACAAATTCACAGCCCATTTGGTTTTCAAGGAGTATGAAAACAAGCATTGCCGTAATTGTTGTGTAATCTAATGGTTGGACACACCCATGCAGATACACGTAACATGTAAGAGGCCTTAGAGCAGAAGTAGCCCCGGTGAATCTTCTAGGTGCAGGGTAACTTCAGGAGCTCCAACAAACTTCATATATGAGGGAAAGTGAGCAATTTTCCAAAAAAGGTTCTTCAAACCCACGCATAATTTATCCTTTAAAATATAAATTCCAATTTGATTTTTGTCTTAATCTACGTTGCACTCTATGGTATGTTGAAGACAATGATTTCTGCCCTCTTTTAAATAACTTACATATAAAATATTTCAAAATAATTTTTTCACATATAATTTTATGTTGACATTTTTAAAGAAAACAGAAAATATTATAAAATAATACAAAACCAAAATTGGCTCCAATTTTATTAAATATGAGGCATGTGCTGCTGCCAGTCTGGAACACAGGAAGTAATGCTACCCCCACATCTGTGGTACCTTTCAACCTGCGTCAGAGTAAATTTTAAAATAACAAGTAGTTGAAAAACATTGGTAAGTAGATAAATAGTATCAAAAAATATTACAATGAAGGCAAGACTCCAAATACTGTAAAATAGAATTAGAAAATAACAGGCATTTCTTCCATATTTATATAATAATCTCTCTCACACATCATCAGCTCTAAGGGATATTACACCAATATGTTTTGATTTCTAAAGAAATGTCTTACAGGAACTCATGCCAATAACTGCAGTATTGATTTTCAAGGAAATGATGATTTTTCTAGAATTATGTATATTCTATAAAACATCTAACTTTAGACATTTTGATATAGTGTGGACTCTGGGCTAGCATCACCTCAGAACTTGCTAGAGATGAAAATTCTTTGGCCTCCCTCTAGACCTGCCAGATCAAAAGCTTTGCAACTGGAACCCAGAAATCTCATTTTAACAAACTTGTCATGTGTTTCTGATACACATTTAGGTTTGAGAAAAATCAAATTTTGGTTTTGTATTATTTTATAATATTTTCTGTTTTCTTTAAAAATGTCAATATAAAATAAAAGATAATAGATTACATTGTTGCATGCCAGGCCAAGTGTTTACAGGGCAGAACATTCTGGAAAGATTGATTTTCCCCTCCTTTAACTTAACAAAGTGGTGATGCAACCCCAAACACCCCTAACTTCCCTAAAATCTCCACTGACAGACAGTGCATTGTAGCATAGAGTCTCTAGAATCAGATTTGGGTTGAGTCTTTGTTTGCCATTTATTAACCATGTAGTCTTGGCAAAGCTATTCTGCAGTTCTCTGTTTCCTCATCAATAAAATAAAAGTAATGATATGTGCATCATGAACAAATATGTGCAAACTCTTATTTGGCATTGAGGGGTAATGTGCTCCAGGAAGTAGATTTTAGTTCTGACAGCAGTCTGCCTATGGACTGTTTGGATGGAGAGAGAGATTTCTCATTGAAAAATCTCATGTGAGGGATGTAGAATTATCACTTGCTTGAAATAGTAGCAACATGTTGAATTGAATCGTAATATATTCCCAGGTAGCCTAAGTTTTTGGGAAGCAATTATGAGGAGCCAACTGGTTAGCTCACAACAGATTCATTTGTCTCCAGAAGAAGTGACGTTTAGAAGCTGGGACAATCTACAAAATGAAAAAGAGAGGACTTTTAAAATTGCACTTAAAATTTTGCTTTCATTCTAAATTACTCCTTCTTGCATGTTTTCAAGTAAAAATAAAAATTTCTAGAGCTTTCTCTAAAAGCTCATGTGTGTCCATTGTTCCCTGGGAATGGTGTATGTGTGTTTGCCTGCCTTGCTTGGGCTTTGTGTGTTACCTTTATTTTATATTAGACTGCAAATAGTTTTAGTGAACAAGTGAGGTGAAAGTATACATTTTATGAAAAAATATTGACTTATTTACCTACTTGTTCCTATATTCCTTACCCTACTCTATATTTACTTTGATGATATATCAACTTGGAGGCATTTTGTGCATCAATACTTCTACAGATTAAAAAAATAAGTGTCAAAGCATTATCCTGACTTGCAGGGTAACAAAAAACAATAATAATAAGGCTGCATGTGTATGTTTTCTTACAATCCATCAGTGTATGCATATGATATTGATACTAGAGAAAACATATAGACTCTCATATCTTCATGTATGTTTGTTTCTAGTAAATCACCAAAAGATGGATATCAGGAGAATACTTCTGGAAAATATATACAAACTGTTTATTCAACTTCAGATCGGTAAGCATGTCTATATTTCCAAACATAAAAGTATACATTAGTGTGCACACACACACACACACACACAAAACCCATATACACATACATATATATTCTCATTATCATTTGTTCTCGAGATGGCTCTCCTAATGATAATTGTTATGTATGTACAAGAAGAGAATACAACTCTGCATCCAAGAATTTGCCTCTTGGTCTCCTGCTGTTGCTGATCTCTAATTTTGATGCACATTATTCCAAAAATCCTTTCCATTCTTTGCAGCAGCCTTCCAGGCCAGCCCTTCTGCTATTGATGATTCCCAGGAGTCCCCAATTCCACATTATTAGCATCTAGGCTTCATTGTACCACTAGACTACCCTCAGCCCTCCCTCCTTGTGGTTTTTCAAAGCCATCTCACTTTACAAGCAGCTGCATGGATATACTTACTGATAAGACCTACTCTGGACCTAAGTGCAGTTCCCAGGGGGAGAGTTATGATGAGTATTGATTTAGTGCTGGTGAACTGACCCCACTCCAGGCTTTTGCTATTAGTGATCTTCTACTGTTTAATGTTCAGTGGGGCCCAATGTTCACTCCTAGATGACACTCAGGAGTGTGTGGCCTGCAGATTTGCAGTGGAGTAAATGAAAATAATTAGCATTTCAACCTGATCACTGGAAACCAACTGTAATGCAAATATTTGATATTCCACCAGTTTCTCTATAGCAAGGGGTAGAAATATGACTCATTGAGAATAAGGGTATATCTTGTTTTTATGTGTAGCTTCCAATGCAGTGTTTGGTGTCTAACAGGTACTCAGTAAATGTTTTCTAAGCACATGAACCTATGTCCCATTCACAAAGGAGAATATGGGTGAACCAAGCATCAAAATTTTATCCTGTTTCTCTGATGGAAGGAAAGTGAATTAGTATGACCATTATGGAAAACAATATGGAGGTTCCACAATAAACTAAAATGGAACTACCATAGACCCAGCAATTCCACTACTGGGTATATATCCAAAGGAAAGGAAATCAGTATGCCAAAGAAACATCTTCACCACCGGTTCATCGCAGCAATATTCATAATAACCAATATATGGAGTCATCTAGAGGTCCAATGATAGATTCATGGAAAAAGAAAAGTTGGGATATATGCACACAATGGAATATTATTCAGTCATAAAAAGAATGAAATCCTGTTATTTGTGGCAATCCAGATGAGCCCAGAGAACATTATGTTAAGTGAAATAAGCCAGGCACAGAAAGACAAATACCACATTTTGTCACTCCTATGTGGAAGCTAAAAAAAGTTGATCTCATAGGAGTCGAGAGTAAAATGGTCCAGGTGGTGGAGGGCAAGATAGAGAGAGGATAGATAACAGGTATCAAAATACAGTCAAACAAGAGAATTACTTCTAGAGTTCTATAGCCCAGTAGGATGAGCATAGCTAACAACAATGTATGGTTTATTTCAAAATAACTAGAAGAAAGGATTTTGAGACAGAAATGCTAATTACTTTGATTTGGTCATTATGTATTGTATGCATATATCAAAATATCACATCATGTCTGATAAAAATGTATAATTATTATATGCCAATCAAAAATAAAAATATAGCCCCTTTATGATAATCTTCCAAGATTGTTCCCATTATCAATGCTCTGCTGGGTGTCCTGCCTTTATGTTACACTTCTCTGAGGAGTAAAGTAATCTATACAAACATTGGAATTATAGACACTATGTAGGTAACAACAACAACAACAACAACAACAAAACAAACCAAAGCTAGATTTTTCATAATCCTTTGTAAATGTCTATGACTAATTGTATAATCCTTAATTTTAAGGACAGCACCAATATCAGAATTCTACCTGCACTCATATTTTTATTGTTAATGTAATGAAGGGAAATATGCTTCATTAGAGTCTTTCTGTTAATATGAAGAATTAGAGAATTAGCCTGAGGCAGTTCATGAACTTTTTCTTAGTTGTAAGTTCTCTGTAAGCCCAGTAGGTCAAGCAACTCTTGCTGTTGGTTAGTGTGTGAAATTGGCTATGTCCCCACAGTTCTTATCCAAGCATATCAATCCCATTAAAAGTGGTTGCATACATTATAAAACAAAGACCAATTTTTTTACACATTCTTTATGGGCTTTTAGAATCTGCTCCTGCTGAACATTGGCAGATGGTCAATCACTGCAAATGCCCTCAGGGAGGAGCAGCTCCATCTATCTTGTTCACTGTGCTTGGTTCCTCTATCATGAACCCCATGAGCCCACCTTGAGAGCTCCTTCATCTTCAAGCCTAACCATATGCACTTTTTGGACAAGCCTTTCCTGACTCCTCCCAGCATTGGTTGCTTCCTCAGTGGACGCTCCTCTTCCCTCATATCCATGTCATGCTGTCATCACTGAGTCACATGTCTGGCTTCCCCAGGGGAAACAGCTTCTCATAGGAGGACACCATCTAGCCATTCTTTGTACTCCCAGTTCCTAGCTCAGTGCCTGTGGAATGGACAGCAGATATAAAGCACATACTTTCTGCTCTTAAAGTGCTTATAGTCACAAATGGGAAATTTGGGTGTGCATGTACATACATCTGTATATAAATGGGTAATTCATAGGGAAATATTTGCCTGGTATCTATAAGTGAGTAGTTAGAGAATGAAGTGAAGGGGAAAATATTTACTTATGCACATAGGCATGAGCAAGAAATTGCTAGAATGACTAAAAGTATAAAACCAGAAAAGGTTTATCTACTTTAATTCCTTTCTTCTCTGGTTTCTCTTCCTCCTATTTTCCCTCTTCTCTGCTTCACTCATGGGCTTGATGACACCATAGTGGCTTCTGGGCATGACTAGCTCTTGTCAACACAGGGAACCCAGTAGGCCTCATGGGTAGACCTAAACTCTCCATTCAAAGCCACTCACTGGCTGCATGACAGCAGCAATATACTGACCTTTCTCTGCCCCAGTTTCCCTTTCTAGAAAGTCATGCTAAAAATAACAATACTGACTTCTCAGTAATGTTGTGAAGGGTAACTGAATTTTTATACGCAGGCTTGGGCAAATACACCGCACATGTTAAGCACTATACAAGTATTGGCTATTTTTATTTCACTATCCATGAAGTATCCTACTCTGGAAATATCAGGTGGGTGTGCTAAAGCCTCAAATCCAATAAATACTACTTGGTGTGATTTAAGACACTCCTGAGACCTTACAAAAGGAAAAGAATCCTTTCCTAATGCTCTGGTATGATCTAAATTTTTCTGTATTCTGTTGATTGCATCTATAATTCATTTACATTAGTTTCACAAAACTAATCAAATTTTATATCTTCCTGTAGAATATAAACTTTGTCATGATAGGTATCCCTAAATCTGACTCTTACCCTGGGTGGTGACTCTAGACCTTGGAGTCCTTGAGCACTATAGACCCATCATTTGTGAGTTTATAAACACACCCTTGAATGGATTTCTATTTGGGGCCTATTGAATATTTCAAGTGTAAAACCTTTACATTAATCTGTAACATACTTTCCCCATGTAATCTGTAAACTGATAGAGGTAAATTAATAATTAAAAAACCCTCTTCCAGCTTCAAGAGGTCCTTATAACCTACTTTAGCAGGGAAACTGAACATCTCTGTCCTGCTCAGATGCATTCTTGATTGCTAATGGTTTAATAATCTGAGACTTTCCCTCATGTTAATTCTTTGACATCATCTTAGGGGTAACTAGAAAATCAATTCGATTACTAGAATAAGTAAACTCTGCACTTTTTTTTATTTTACTGTAGTTTCCTATATGAGGATGTTGACTCATAATGGTGATGGGTGAGGGGAGCATGGGAGGAATGGAGGAACTTTAGATAGGGCAAAGGGGAGGGAGGGACGGGTGGGGGGGCAAAGGGGAATGAATGATGGTGGAATGAGTTAGACATCATTACCCTAAGTACATGTATGAAGACACAAATGGTGTGATAATACTTTGTGTACCATTAGTGTCTTGAAAAATTGTGCTCTCTATGTGTAATGTGAAATGAATTGCACTCTGCCATTGTGTATAACAAATTAGAATAAATAAATAATTTAATTTAAAAAGTAACATACTATTTCTACATGACTTCTGTCTTTTATATGATAGCAAATTTCTTTTTAATTTTTAATTGCTTATATCTCTACAGGTCAGTCATCGAAAGAGATATGTGTACTTATTGTCGCAAACCCTTGGGTTTACAAACGAAAATGATTTTAGATGAATTACAGATTTGCTGCCATTCCACTTGCTTTAAGGTAAACATGTGTTTATTACACTTAACTAAATGTTAAATGGCATAATAACTGGAATTAAAATAATTATTTATTAAAATTCATGGAATGAAGTGAAAGCATTCAGAAACTCTATAATTCACATTAATAATGCACAACTTACATATTTCTCAGAGCTCTGTAGCCTAAACCTCAAAGGCTTAAAATTACTATCTTGGTTTTAGGCTTAGAGTTGATTACTGACACATCTATTCATTCTTACCCAAGAGATTTAAGTCTGTGAAAAAGATAAACACTTGTTCTTTTTATAAAGTTTCTGCAGCATTTTGATAATTCACATATTGCATAAAAATATATAATGAAATCAAAAGAGGAGAATAAACTTAAGAAAGCAAGCAACTCTTTCATCATGAAATCAGGCCTGATGGGTTTAACAATTGTTAAAACTCAATCTGCTTTTGAGCCTATGATCAATTGCAATTAATTGTGGTTTAATAAATAATAGTAGACATTCATTAGCATAGTATTTCAGAGTTTGGTTTCTATCAGCTATTTTTTTTTTCTCAGCAATGACATTGGGTGGGTCAACGTGACAGCTTTGGGTGTAATTGCATGAGTAAACACTGAGCTGAGAATCTGAAGACCTGACTTCTGGTTCTGCCTCTGCCACTAGTTATGACTGAGTGACTTTGGAAACCATCTAGATTGCCTTGGACTATTTCCTTACCTGTTGACTAGACCAGTTGTTCTTAATGCTGCCTGCATCTTATAATCATCTGAAGCGATTAAGGGAAATTATCAGAATGCTTGGGACAAGCCCCAGTTAAACCAAGAATCTCAGAGATAATTTGGGGGCATTAGTACTTTGAAAACTAATATGCAGCCAATTGAGAGCCACTTACCCAAATCTATGGGTAGTTATAGCTCGGGCATTCTATGATTGATACAAATTATCTAATCCAAATAGATGTAATACTTAGTGAATTGAATGTTTCTCCTCCATTTACCTTCAGATAGTAACATAAAGCAATCAGAAATTTGGTGCATTATTTTGAACAAAGAAAAACTCACCCAATAGAGGATTATAAAAATATATTATGAAGATTGAATAATTATTTGATTATAAGAATATGCAATCGCTTCCTATTATTAAATATATTCAATTAAATAAAAGTATATAACTCTTTCTTTCAAATTATTATGAATAAAACTTTATAAATGAGAGAAAATTCTCCTGATTATTGCTTTTGGTAAATAGGAACAATTTTCATTTATTATATTTTAAATGATTTGACACCATTTCCAATGTCATTATAAAACAAAACTGAGAATAAAAAGGTTCCCCACACTTGTAGAAAAAGATAGTTTGTTCTGTAGCCATGGTAATAGAGAGCCATCTGAACTGGTCTAAACATGTCAAAGTAATCAATGACAATTCACTTTAGTGAACCCACTTCTGAGAGCAATTAGTGCCCCTGCCTCATGCTTGGAACTCAGCCAATCAGTAGTGGAAGGGTCTAAAAGAGAGGCCAGATCGTTCCTGCTTCTGTCACCCAACACAACTCAGAATAAATTTTCCTCCTAAACCTTATGTAAGAAAACCATAAATGCTACCTTGTATTTTTGTTTGAGATATTGGGTGAACATCCTGTCCTTGGCATAACCAATATAAAAACTATTGTAGGGCTGGGGATGTGGCTCAAGCGGTAGCGCGCTCGCCTGGCATGCGTGCGGCCTGGGTTCGATCCTCAGCACCACATACAAACAAAGATGTTGTGTCCGCCCAAAACTAAAAAAATAAATATTAAAAAAAAAAAAAAAAAAAAAAACTATTGTATCTGCTCCCTTGGGAGTTAAGTAGATAACTTCAGTGGTAGATAGTCCCTGAAATATACCAGCATGATAGAAAGAGGATATGAGAGTCCATTTGAAAAGTTTTCCACATGGATTATAGGACCAGGATACTCTCAAATTTCCTGTGGTGTTTTTTGAGGCTGCGTTGGAGTGAGGCTATGGAAGGTGGTCTTGAATGAACTGAAAAGGCTTCTCTACTTTGTTCCTCCAAGAATCTAGACTTAATCTATGATGTAAACTTTATATTTATGCTTTTCTCCATTAGTGTGAAATATGCAAACAGCCTTTGGAAAATCTACAAGCAGGTGACAGTATTTGGATTTATAGACAGACAATACACTGTGAACCTTGCTACTCCAAGGTCCTGGGTAAGTGTCAGGATCTGTAAGGAACAATCACTTTTATTACTAATGTACATTGAATATTGTTGAAAATGATTTATTGAAATAAAGTAAGATATTTTATTAATTAATTATATTTAGTTAACAATTTAGCAGCATATAGTTATACTATGATAATATTTTGTTACTGGTATAAAATCAGTCAATATTTATATTATCTTCTGATATTACATAGGACATAGATACAACAAAGAAAGAAATCATTTATTTTTAAAAATTTCCCATTTTTTCAAACAAAAATAGATCTTTGCTGATAAATTGATTTTTTAAACTGAAGTCCATTTCTGTGAGTGACCTTTTACATTTACACTTGAATGTATTTTTTTTAGATAATTTTGTCAGTATTGTAAATGCCTTTTTTTGTTTTGTTTGTTTGTTTTTTGTGCTAGGAATTGAACCCAGGGCCTTTACCACTGAGCTACATTCCCAGCACTTTTTACTTGTTATTTTGAAGACAGGATCTTGCTAAATAGCTTAGGGTCCTTCTAAGTTGCTGAAACTAGCCTTGAACCTGCAATCCTCCTGCCTCAGCCTCTCAAGTAACTGGGATTACAAGTGTGCACCACTGTGCCTGATAATAAATCCTTTTTAAATTTCAAATATTTTTAGTTATAGATGGACACAATACCTTTATTTCATTTATTTATTTATTTTTATGTGGTGCTGATGATTGAACCCAGTGCCTCATGTGCTAGGCAAGCGCTCTACCACTGAGCCACAACCCCAGCCCTTAATGTTACTTTTAAATGAAAAATAAATAGAGTTGATTCTTTATTAAATATAACATTTAAATGTTTTTGACAATATAGATCAAATATTAGTATAATTTAGACTCATAATTAACATTGATAATGTGAGGAGAAACCATTAAGGATATGTATCTTCAATGAACATTTTCTATAAACTAAGTGAGAAAGGTATAAAAGCTGACTGAAAAGATGAACAGAGGACATAAATTAGCAAAATAAAGTCCTTTGACATTTGATCAACTTTTACAAGCCAGTATCTACATTTTATTTTTATGTTTAATAATAAGTAGATAAAATAACCCAAATGAGATTGAAGAGAATGTGAACAACACTTTTTTCCTTGTCTTGTTGACACAGTGAATGAAAAGAGGAACATTTGGGATTCCTACATGGGATCCAAAGTACGGAGCTTGATGACAAATGTGTGAGCTTAATGAGCTATTGGGAGGCTACATCTGGAAAATGCTCTGAAAAATATTCAGAAACCCACGTTCCATCAGGCTGCAGAATCAATTACAAGAATAAACCTAATTATATTCATACTTCTTCTATTTTCTGCTTCTCCAAAACAGCTCTCATATTTGCTTTTATTTCTAATTTAGCAGCCGTAGCCTGATCCAACATTGTATCATAGGTCTTGATATGCATGGTGGTAGCGCTAGAACTTTGTCTCCCGGGAATCCATGACACTTTAGGGGGTGTGGTTACACAAGGACTGAGACTTTGTGCCTTCCCCCCTGCCCATGTACACTTCATAGGCACTGCATTTTTTTATAGTACATATAAGTTGACAAGATGACTCTCAAGCATTTTATGAATATGCATATCTGATATCTGGTACTTCACATGTGGCCCAAAGGGACATCAGTGAATTCAGGAGTGGAAGGAAAAGTGGAATGCCTAATCCACCACTCTCCCCTAGATGAAAGATTGTTTTTTAAAATCTTAATTGTAGACTTATTTTTGTGCTGAATTTGTATATCTAACTTTTTTTTTTACTTTTTTTTCAGCAAAATGGATTCAGTGATGATGGCACATGGAAATCAAGATGAAAAACATTAAGAAATTAAAAGTTACAAGTTTTGAGAGTATGTAATCTAGAAAAGCTTTTACACTGAAGATTAATTCTTGTATAAAATCAACAAGTCTGCTATTGCATAAATAATCTAATTCCCCTCAGTAAGGTCAAATACATAAAACAACCACCTTGTATCTGGTTAGATTTAGTGATTTAAAAAAATTGGGGGGCTGGGGTTGTGACTCAGTGATAGAACACTTGCCTAGCATGTGTGAGACACTGAGTTCGATCCACAGCACCACATAAAAATATATAAATAAAATAAAGGTATTGTGTCCATCTAGAACTTATATATATATATATATATTTAATTCGGGTGGTTATAGTAATCAATGTCAAAAGTCCATCCCTGCTTTATATGTTCGCTGTGCATTATGGTTTTGATTATTACCAAATTTCTCATTTATTCACTTTTATTCCACTGAGAATTTGGATTCACAGTCATTATGGAAATCTTGACAAATATACTACAGAAAGTAACATATGCTTTTTTTATCTGCAAAAGAAATGCCGGTAGAAATTTTCTTATAAAGTTTTGCACAAAGATGTCAACATAAAAGGTTATATGGACCTTAGAAAATCACTTAAACTTTCTAGATCTCTGTGACATTATTTGTAACATGAAGGGCATAGGACAAAATGATTTCTAAGGTCCCTTTTTGCTACTCTGGTTCTCTGATTCTAGAATTTGGGGTTTGCTTGTTAGAAATATGTCAGTATGTGTGTTTGTTAAGTTTATTGAACTACATGGGATATATGAGAAATTTGACCTTAATATCATCCTTCAATTTATCAGAAGAATAGTTTTTATAGACTATTTTTTAAAAGGAAATAGATTTATAGATAATAGGTAAAATCATATAACATATATAATTACATGCTATAATTTGTTAAATTTTCTTTGCATGCATTTCAAAGTCTGGGTGTACAAATAATCTATGAGAAGTAATTGTTATGGATTACAAACACATTCTACATACATACCTATTATGTAGCACTTTGTATTTACAGAAAGCTTATAAAAATAAAATGAACTATCAAGTATGCAGAATTTTTTGTGGTGTGTCTATAAATGTTATTCACTAACATATGTTTTATCAATTATACTTAGCACAATGTCTTACATTCTATGAGGTGCTGTTATTTTTCAATTGTTTAAGCTATAGCTTCTGTTTTTAAAGAACATTTTCTGAAGGAATTGAAAACTCAATAATTATGTGAGAAACTAGTCTTAGTGAGAAATTGAAGTTATAAACTATTTTGCAGACACATACCAACTGTTTCTTGAAGGGAGTTTAATTGAGGTGCAGGTAGAATTCTAGGGAGGTTTTAAGCAGTTTTGAGAAACTGATACAAACTAGGGAAGTTAAAGGATGACCATGTATAATGCAAATGGTGATAAATTCAAAGAATGATTGACTTGTGTTATAATATCATGCATCTGTCCCTCTTAGAGTCTGTTCCACAAAGTGTTAAACACAAAGTGCTTATCAAAATACAGCAATGTATAATTGTCCTATGGAAAAGGAGCCAGAAAAAACAATTAATAATAATTTGATATTCATTAATTCATGCTTGATGAGAAGCGGTGGTAATTGAGCCATATGTTTTATTGTTCTTTTATTACATGCTATCAGAGTGGATCAAAAGAAATAATTTTCTTAGAGTTGAAATTCACTGCAGAAAAGGATGGATGAAATAGCATCCCTGCCTTTTCTACAAAGTGTATTAACATCTCAATGCTTTTGTAGTAATTAAAAATCATCTGAATACCATTTTAAAGTATAAAAACCTAAAGGGAACACATTTCTCACTCTTCCAAAGCTGTTTTATGGATGCTTTCTTCTGCAATAATGTGTTAAATCAAACCCAAAGCTGTTGTAAAAATGAAATAAAAATGAAGTGAAGAGAGAAGGGTTTCCGATTCATCAAGACCACTTCATTATGTCTGAGTTTATTGTCACAGTAGAAATGACGGACTCCTAAAACAACTTGGAAGATCTTTTTTTTTTTGGCAGCCAATTAATTATGTTATGATTTACATACTTGTCCTGGACACAAGTACCTAAATCTAGGGATACCAAGTCCTGAATTCTATTGCTAATTAAAATATGTCTCTGAAAGAGAAATAATAGTTTCATCATGAGAGTATCTTTTTAAGAGAACTAAAGAAAAGAAATACAACAATTTCAGAATTTTGTTCTGAATTTCTTAAAATAGCATGCACTTTTAAAACAAGGCCAAGAAATAAGAATTCACTCAAGAATCTGTACATCTTTACTTGTTTGATTGCGATCACTCAGCTAACTGGTTGGGAGTGACGAGGTGGTCTGGCTGTCATTGCTGGTGGTGACTCGTTTACTATGGAAGACAATCATGACTGTTTGGAACATTTTCCTGCTCAACTTGATTCAGAGCTTTATCAAAACAAGTGACAGATCTATGTCATGGCAAAATAACAATGATAGTGTTTTTCTTTTTTTTTTTTTTTAACTGTGGAATGGTTATTTTGGTACAATGTAAATAAAGTGCTTTTAGAATCCCACCTATTCCACAGCACTTTTCCCTACTAGTTTTATTCCCTTTTGTTTAAAATTTGGGGCTCTCTAATGCGCCCTCAGCTCAAACATCACATGGGTCTATAAATCTATTTCTGGTGCTCACCCAATTTTGTAAAAATTTTTTAGTTTTATTTTTTAGTTGTTGATAGACCTTTATTTATATATGATACTGAGAATCAAACACAGTGCCTCACATATGCCAGGCAAGTGCAGTATTGCTGAGCCCCAGCCAGCCCCAGCTCCATCACCCTATTTTTATATGATCTCTTTTGTTAGATGTCTAAGGGTCTTTGAATGTTTTATGTATACTTGAGAATTTCATTTGAATTTATTATAATACCAAAATTCGACACCATTCTGACCCTTTTTTCCTGGACCTTTTACCTGGCATTTGAGAAGCATGGCTTCTGAGAGATATTATTAAAATATTCAAAATGCATAAATTAGGTAATGATTTTAGCTTTCTTCACTGTAAGAGGAAACTGGACACCATCATTGCTTTATAAATGCCATCTGGGAAAGACCTTTTAGCTTCATTGGCTTCTACATTCCTTTTGATGCATTTTTCTTATTAATGCATTTAAATACCTATTGTTTTAGGTTCTCTGGAGGAAAAGATGCACAGCTTATAATCTATCGTTTTTTCATTCATTCATTCATTCTGTTATATTAACTAACTTCAACTTTTTCTTTGAGAACTTTGTTCATTCCAAGTCCTAGTGGTGGAAAAAAACAGCTTAAGTCCCTGCTCTCATAAACTACATTCTAAAGCAGGAAGGCAAGTAGAAGAGCAGTTTGAAAGACAGAAAGAAAATAAATATTATAATTCTGATATTAATAAGACCCACACAGGAAATGGAATACTGTGACTGTTTGAATGGAGTAATTTTAAAAATGAGGTGGTAAGATGAAGAGGAGATACTTAAATAAGAACCAACCAGCCAGGAGAAGAGTTTTCTAGGAGGTGATGTCTTAGATTTGACAGACATCCGACCATGTTTTCTGGGATAAACCTAACCTTTCTTGCTTCTTTTAAACATAATGAGATGGAAAATTCAAATGCCAAGAGATAGACTAGTCCAAGTATTTTGAAGGCTCCTCTATTCCCCTTGCAAAACAGTATTGACCTGTTACTCAGACTATTTTCAACTCTCTGCCAAGGGTGAGTTACACCAAAGGGCTGCTTAGTCCTGAATGTTGAAGTTGCTCACCTGAGCAAAGGAGCCCACAGACACACTTCAGTGACTGAGGTGGGACCAGTGGGTATGAAGTAAGCCCACACCTGGAGTGGAAGCAAGGGATGGTGGGTAATGTTTCCTCATCTCATTGGGGGCACTAAGTGTCGGATCCCTTTTGATTTTCAGACAGAAACACTGAACAGTAGGGTAGTATTACTTCTGATCTAGAAGAAACATCTCACGGGAATTTTATAAATTTTTCCATGTTCTCTTCCCTTGTTGAAACACGAATAAATGTATCTGGTGGAAAAGAACATCAAGATCTTGGTATACCTTTCTTAACAGTTACAATTTGCTAATTGCACCTCCTTCCCCAAGTGAAAAGGGAAGGCTCTTGAATGTTAGTCCTCCTTGAGGCCCCTAAACACAAATTGGACTGAAAATCGCCCACAGGAAATTGTCTAGGCTCCTCTTTTCTAGGTCCTGTGTGACCTTGGTGTGATTCAGGAATAGAAAGACTGGCTGGAAGCTGGAATTAGTGAACATGAGAAGATGTTGAAGAAGAAGGCAGGTCATGGTAGTTTTATAATTGATTGTTAAATATAATTATCATTAAGTAAAGATTATATGTTTATATATGTTATGTTAAATAAAATTCACAAGAGACAATTGCTTTGGACCTAGCTTTCTGCACTGGACCACACCAAAAAGGAATTGTTCTTGCTGAGGCTCCAAATCAACAAGTTGAAACTAAGTTATTTATTTGAACTTCTGAGAAAACAGAAGAGAGATAATAGCCAAATCCCATAGTAGGCCAATTTTAGGCAGCATCATTAGGAAGTCTTTTCTGATTTAACCTTTACAACCAAAGTAACTTTGAAACAACCAATTCACAAGTTTATTCTGTTTCTTCTCTTAGCCCTTTTCTGTCCAAAAGCTCAACTTCCTCTGCTCAGCTGCTGGGAAACTACTCATTCTATTCTATCTTATAGAATGAGATATTTGGGCTGGGGATGTGGCTCAAGTGGTAGCGTGCTCACCTGGCATGCGTGCGGCCCGGGTTCAATTCTCAGCGCCACATACAAACAAAGATGTTGTGCCCGCCGATAACTAAAAAATAAATATTAAAATTCTCTCAAAAAAAAAAAAATAGAATGAGATATTGTCTGATTCTAGAATCACAAAAGCCAACTGAGATCTTTAAGTCTGTTGTAATTTTGTCTTTTGATAATTTACACTTAGTAGAATTCATTTATATCTTTTATATTTTTGTCATTAAAATATTATTGGATGTTATTTATTTTATGGACAGGTTTTAAAATAATATTGAGACAAATATACTTGATTAATTTTTACTTGACATATTTCATGAAGATTCAAAGATTGACTCAAAATGGAACACAGATCTAAATGTAAAACTGCAAAACTATAAAACTTCTAGAAAAAAGAAGAGAGTTCAACATTTCCTTAAGCTTGACAAAGAGTTTTTAGATATGGCACAAAAATCATGATCTGTAGAAGAAAATTTGATAAGTTAAAATATATTAAAATGAAAAACATAGGCTGTGTTAAAGGCACTGTTAAGAGAATGAAATGATAAGCCACAGACCGGAAGAAAATATTTTGTCAACACTTGTCTTATCAGGAACTTATCCCAGAATGTACAATTAGTTCTTGAAACTCAACAATAAAAAAAAAAAAAACTTAATTAAAAAATGGACAAAAAGATCTGAGTAGACACTTCACCAAAAAAGATATATAGATGGCAAATACGTGCATGAAAGATGCCCAACATTTGTTATTAGGGAAATGCAAATTAAAATAACAATGAAATATCTCTACATGCTTATTAGAAAGGCTGAAGTCTAAAAATTATTATTAATATTCAATATTAATATGGTATATTTGCTATAATTAATGAAACCTTTATAAACCAATGTCCACATTTTATTTAGATTTTCTTAGTACATAATGTCTTTTTCTATTACAGGATCAATCCAGGGTACCACATTACCTTTTAGCTATCCTGTCTCCCCGGGTTCTTCTTACCTGTCACGGTTTCTCAGACTTTGTTTTTACTGGTGACCTTATTACTTGAAGATTTTTCTAACTTTTTTTTATCATGATTAGATTGGGGGTATGGGTTTTGAGGAGGAAACCACAGAGTATAGTGCCATTCTTCTTCTTTTTTTGTTTGTTTGTTTATTTTTTGTTTTTTGGTATTGGGATTAAACCCAGGGATACTTAACCACTGAGCCACATCCACAGCCCTTTTATATTTTAGTTTGAGACAGGGTCTTGCTAAGTTACTT